TGGTGGCCCCTCACCTGTGGAATTCGCTCCCAGGGGAGATCAGATCAGCAACATCTCTCCTCTCCTTTAGAAGGAAATTAAAAACGTGGTTATGGGACCAGGCCTTCGGGCAACGTGGCAGCTAAGGCAATGGATGACTAGAATTAACTGGACTGACAATGTGGAATTGAAACTATGGACTATGAGACGGCAAACGCTGAATGCTAAACTGGTTTATTGATGTGTTGTAGAACTAAGAACCGACCGTTTAGTTGTTTTTAACTGTTTAATTGCTGCTATACTGTTTTTATTGTTGTATTGTTTTGTATTGATGCTGGCATCGAATTGTGCCTTTGTAAGCCGCTCTGAGTCCCCTTCGGGGTGAGAAGGGCGGGGTAGAAGTGTCTGAAAAATAAATAAATAGGTGTTGCTTGCATGATGTTTGTGTTTTGGCCGTTGCTATTTTGGAATGCATATATATGCACTTTTGCCCAGAGTCACAATTTCAGACCCATTTGCCCTTTCTTTGTTAATAGTGTCGCAAGCATTTGAAGACCAGGAGGCTCGTGAGCGTGAAGCAGCTCGGTGTGGACAGAATAGTAGACTTCCAATTTGGAAGCGACGAAGCAGCTTACCATCTGATTATTGAGCTCTATGACAGGGTAAGCGGAAGAAGAGATGGCAGGTTACACTTCTCCTGGAATTTGGAGTTAGGATTAACCTGTGCTGAGATGGCTTGGACTTCCCATCAGATTGACTCTTCCAATGTCCTGAGTTTGGATTGCTTACAGATTGAAGCTTATGTTCTTGGAGTGGAAATGCTCTGATGTGCTTTTGTCTTGGATTTGTTGTAGGGCAACATTGTGCTGACTGACCACGAGTATCTCATTCTGAACATCCTGAGGTTTCGTACCGACGAAGCAGATGACGTCAGGTTTGCTGTGCGGGAACACTACCCGGTCGATAATGCCAAACCAGCAGCACCGTTGCCTACTTTGGAGAGGTAAGTCTCTGTGTTGTGTGGCCCTTGGACTGGAGCAGAACCAAACCCCTGCAGCTGAGTCCAGATAATACGTGTCATAAGATTTGGAAGTATACTAGGGACATCACAGAAGGGACACACTTCTCCCCATATTTATTCAAAAAGAATACAAGTCATATTTGTTTAAATCCAACTGCTAGACCAGGCAGGGGCAAACTTCAACTCCAAAAGTCCAAAACATCTGGAGGGCCAAAGTTTGCACATGCCTGATTTCCCATTTCATTGAGTTGGTCTATTGTGGTTGGGGAAAGCAGTTGGATTTAGATTATGGGGCTTTGTGAGGTTTAAGTTTCTTCCCCAGATGCAGGAGTGGACAGATCTCCCATCCTACCACTCTCTTACTCTCCCTTTTTTGCTTTTATTAGATGATAATCATGTCAGAAAAACACATATCCTTTCCCTTTCTATCTTTCCCTTTTTACAAGGCAACCAGCAATCACCAAAATAAAATAATTCAGAGGGTTTTATTTAAAAAGAAACAAAATAACTCTTGGGTTGTTGTGAGTTTTCTGGGCTGTCTGGCCATGTTTCACAAGCATTCTCCTCTGATGTTTCGCCCACATCTATGGCAGGCATCCTCAGAGGTTGTGTGGTCTGTTGGAAAATGGGTGAGTCGGGTTTATATATCTGAGGAATGATGTCCAGAGTGGGAGAAAGAACTCTTATCTGCTTGAAGCAAGTGTGAATGTCACAATTGGCCAGCTTGATTAGCATTTAGAATCATAGAGTTGGAAGAGACCTTATGGGCCATCGAGTCCAATTCCCATTCTGCCAAGAAGCAGGCTCTCACAGTCAGGAAGTTCTTCCTCATGTTCAGATGGAATCTCCTCTCTTGTAGCTTGAAGCCATTGTTCTGTGTGATCTTCAGCGATGAGTCCAACACAACCCCAAGGCTTTGAACAGTGGCAGACGGAACCAGAGCTTCCCCATTGAAATCAGACAGAGACTGGATTAATTCTGGTGGCTGGCCAGGCCAGAGTATCTCAGTTTTTGCAGGATTCACTTTGAGTCTGCTCACTCACAGCCAACTCATCACTGCTTCCAAACACAGCCTAAAGTTCTCAGGAATCGCAGTTGTCCCAGGTTTGAGACACAAGAGTAGCTGGGTATCATCTGCATACTGGTAGCACTCTATGCCAAAGCTCCGCACCAGTCCAGCAAGTGGCCGGATGTAGATGTTAAATAACACAACATACAAACTATCTACAGACCCAACAAGAAAATCCAACGTTCAGCAAAGACAAGAGGGATCCTCTCACTTCTGCAGGAGTCTACCGTGTACCATGCAGATGTGGACAAGTCTACAGAGGGACCACCAAATGCAGCGTTGCCCAAACATGAATCAAGGAACATGGAAGGCACTGCAGACGCCTTCAACCAGAGAAGTCAGCCATAGCAGAGCACCTGAGGAACCAACCTGGACACAGCATATTGTTTGAGAACACAGAAATGCTGGACCACACCCACAACCACCATGTCAGGCTACACAGAGAAGCCATTGAAATCCACAAGAAGCATGTGGACAATTTCAACAAAAAGAAGGAAACCATGAAAATGAACAAAATCTGGCTACCAGTATTTAAAAACACTAAAATCAGGACAGTCAGTTAAGAGCAACAGTCAAAAAGCAGGGGAATTCCAGACAGGAAACAATCAGCTAACACCTCCCAACAAAGGATTCCCCTAGGCAGGAAGCAGCCAAGTTTTGAAGCTGCAAGGCCATTCAATGCTAATCAAGGTGGCCAATGGCAACATTCACACTTGCCTCCAGCAGACAAGAGTTCTTTCTCCCACTCTGGACATTATTCCTCAGGTATATCAACCCCACTTGCCTAGTTTCCAACAGAGCCCCTCAAACCTTTGAGGATGCCTGCCATAGATGTGGGCAAAATGTCAGGAGAGAATGCTTCTGGAACATGGCCACACAGCCTGGAAAACTCACAGCAACCCAGAGATCCATCCTCCCGTGAATATGATTTTATTTATTTCTCGTGTCAGGGCAGCCAGTCAATTATATTACATTTCTAACAGAACAAAGCAAACAAACAAACAGAGAAAATACAAAATGTGTGAGTTTGGTAGTTGATTAAATGTCCTTTGACCAGTATCTGGCCACTTGGAGTGCCTCTGGTGTTGCCGCAAGAAGGTCCTCCATTGTGCATGTGGCAGGGCTCAGGTTGCATTGCAGCAGGTGGTCAGTGGTTTGCTCTTCTCCACACTCGCATGTTGTGGATTCCACTTTGTGGCCCCATTTCTTGAAGGTTGGCTCTGCATCTCGTGGTGCCAGAGTGCAGTCTGTTCAGCGCCTTCCAAGTCGCCCAGTCTTCTGTGTGCCCAGGGGGAGTCTCTCTTGGTATCAGCCATTGATTGAGGTTCTGGGTTTGAGCCTGCCATTTTTGGACTCTCGCTTGCTGAGGCATTCCAGCGAGTATCTGGCACTCAACACTCTTTTATTGAAGGTATTTAAGTAGAGATTGGGTGTCTATTTCTTGGAATGTTTTAGCACTAGATTTCTGTGTTCTCGGGGAATTGGACTGAAGGGCATTTGGCATTCTTTCCAACTCTGTACTTCTGTAATTATAATTCACTGAGTTCATTAGAAGATGGCTGCCCAAAGCCTTATGTGAGAAGCAAGGTTGTTTTGGTCTTGTTTCTGTCTGTAAATCTTTGAGCCAGACTTCTTGGACAGTAGTAATGAAGAGGAAGACCTTTTTGCACCTCAGAGTGTCAACTCTTTTGGTAATCACCCCATCTTGTTTCGTAGGCTGACAGAAATAATAACCACATCACCCAAGACGGAACAGATCAAGAGAGTCCTAAACCCTCACCTTCGTAAGTTTTATATGTGTTATATTGACATTCAGAATATAGTAAAAGCTGTGGCCGTGAGGAATACTTTCCCAGCCGGACTGTGGTTACCTGAAACTGTGGTTAAGACTAAACACTATTACATGAGTCCTAGTCCCAGCGTACTATAGAGCTGAGCTGGAGGACCTCAACATTCCTAGACAGCTGGCTCTCATTACATATTAGCTGTTGTTATTATTTTTTAGCAGTTGAATAATAATAGCAAACACAGTGGCTGTGATTAAAGAGGTGCTCTGTGTTGTCAGAGGCTTTCACGGCCAGAATCACTGGGTTGCTGTGAGTTTTCCGGGCTATCTGGCCATGTTCCAGAAGCATTCTCTCCTGAACGTTTCACCCACATTTATGGCAGGCATCCTCAGAGGTTGTGAGGTATTTTGGAAACTAAGCAAGGGAGGTTTATCTATCTGTGTTATGATGTCCAGGTTGGGAGAAAGAACTATTGTCTGCTTGAGGCAATTGTGATTGTTGCAATTGGTCAACTTGATTAGCATTGAACGGCCTTGCAGCTTCAAAGCCTGGCTGGTTGCTGCCTGGAGGGGAAGAGGTGCTGTTGGAGAGTGGAATAAGAATACAAAAATGCTGCTACAAGACCAAATGCTATTGTGCTGGTACGGCTGTACCAGGAGCTCCAATTTTATTTGTTTTGTATTAAATGTTTGCTTGCAGTCCTAGGTTTCAGGGATTCTGCAGATAAGTGGCTTCCTTTGGTTGCAGTCGTAGGGCAAGTCACCTGTCCATCATCGTTAAGTTTTGGTTCTGCCCCTTGTTCAGGGCAATTGGGAAGGGAAGGGAGCCATTTTTAGTTAGTCTCAGTAAGGAAAGCTAATGTACAGGACGTGTACAAGCTTCCCCTGTACAAAAGCTTCAACTTTTAAGAATTTCCAGGGATCAGACGCTCTCTTGATATTATCTCTCCTATCATGGAGAATCTACTAGCCTTACTGGTAGGTCCACTCGGTGCTTTCGAGACGCAATTCGACCCGGTAGCGGAGCCCACATCAGTAAGAATTAGATTACAGTCAGCCTGGGAGAAGTTAAAAAGGGGATTTTCCTTTAAAGCAAAGAATTAGTTATTGAAGACAATTACCTGTCCTTCATGGACAAGATTAGGAAGCCACCAGTTGCATAAAAGCCTGGAATCATTTGTTTAAATTTCTGAAGACAAGAGAAGTTTCTGTTTGATTGTTCATTAATAAAGGACTTTTGGTATACTTCACAAGCCATCTAAAGACCATTTGTGGTGGAAAACCTCTGAGAACTTCTCTTCGGGGGGCCCTGGCTTCCTGCTGGGCTCAAGCCGCACGTCCTGCTTAAAGGCAATTATTTACAGGCCCAGCGTGTGACAGAACAGCTATACAGATCTGTACAGGATCCATGCTTCTGATACAGAAAGCTGTGGGTATTATTTGGAGCTGATACACAGTCGTGGTAAAATTGTATAGAATTTCCAGATCTCTCCTTCTTCACTGTTCTAACACTTTGCTTGGGGTGCAATTATTTGTTTATAGCCCTGACTGCTGTTTTCCATATCATAATCAGGTCTCTTTTTTGTTTTTATTTGTAGCGTATGGAGCCACTCTGATTGAGCACTGCCTCATAGAAACAGGATTTTCAGGGAATACGAGAATAGAGCAAATAGACAGCAAAGGTAGGTGTTCAAATGTCTGAATGTCAAATGGGCAACATTGTCTCTATCACGTTGCCTGATGTTTAATTATAAATTGAAAAAAAGATCTTGGAGTCCTTGTGGACAGGAAGGGGAACATGAGCCAAGAATGTGATGTGGTGGCAAAAAAAGCCAATGGGATTTTGGCCTGCATCAATAGGAGCATAGTGTCTAGATCTAGGGAAGTCATGCTCCCCATGCTCTATTCCGCCTTGGTTAGACCACACCTGGAATATTGTGTCCAATTCTGGGCACCACAATTCAAGAGAGATGTTTACAAGCTGTATCCAGAGGAGGGCAACTAAAATGATCAAGGGTCTGGAGAACAAGCCCTATGAGGAGCGGCTTAAGGAGCTGTCCATCATGTTTAGCCTGAAGGCTGAGAGGAGATATGACAGTCATGTATAAATATGTGAGAGGAAGCCACAGGGAGGAGGAGGGAGCAAGCTTGTTTTCTGCTTCCTTGGAGACTAGGACGCAATGGAACAATGGCTTCAAACTACAAGAGAGGAGATTCCATCTGAACATGAGGAAGAACTTCCTGACTATGAGAGCCGTTCAGCAGTGGAACTCTCTGCCCCGGAGTGTGGTGGAGGCTCCTTCTTTGGAAGCTTTTAAACAGAGGCTGGATGGCCATCTGTCGGGGGTGATTTGAATGCAATATTCCTGCTTCTTGGCAGAATGGGGCTGGACTGGATGGCCCATGAGGTCTCTTCCAACTCTTTGATTCTATGATTCTATATGCGCTTCTGTCTCCAAATTAAATCCAAAATTAAGAAACTTTGTTTTGTATTGGTGCCTCTACACATGTGCGTGTTTGTTTGTGTTGTTCTAAAGCTTCTTCTTACTGTGAAGTCCCGTCCATGACAGGTATCATGTAATAATAATAATAATAATAATAATAATAATAATAATTACTATTATTATTATTACTAGCTGTCCCCTGCCACACGTTGCTGTGGCCCAGTCTGGTGATCTGGAAAATAAAGTAATGAGAAAGTATTGGTTTCAAATATATGCAATTTCTTTATGCTTCTGGGTAAACAGTATTTCTTGCTGTTTCTTTGTCAATGTTGATGTGGAGAGTGTCTGGTTTGCCCACCCTGGAACATGCAAGATATCATTGTCCTTCTTTAAGGGTTCCTTTCAAATCTATGATACTATATCTGTGTGTGAATCATATCTATCTGTCTGTCTGTCTGTCTATATCTATGGCTGGATGGCTCTTTGTCAGGAGGACTTTGATTACGTTTTCTTGCCCTGATGAAGGGAGTTGGATTGGATGGCCTTAAGTAATTTCTGTTGGTCATGGGGGTTCTGTGTGGGAAGTTTGCCCCAATTCTGTCATTCGTAGAGTTCAGAAAGCTCTTTGATTGTAGGTGAACTGTGAATCCAAGTGACTACAACTCCCAAATGTCAAGGTCTATTTCCTGCAAACTCCATCTGTGTTCATATTTGGGCGTATTGAGTGCTTGTGCCAAGTTTGGTCCAGATCCATCATTGTGCTCTCTGGATGTAGGTGAACTACAACTCCCAAACTCAAGGTCAATGCCCACCAAACCCTTCCAATTTTTTCTGTAGGTCATGGGATTTCTGTGTGCCAAGTTTAGTTCAATTCCATAGTTGATGGAGTTCAGAATGCTCTTTGATTTTAGGTGAACTATAAATCCCAGCAACTACAACTCCCAAATGACAAAATCATAATTTTTTTGAGTGATGGTCACTCCTTGTGTTGTGAGACATTTTGTTGCCAAATTTGGTGTGATTTCGTGGATTGGTTCTTTTGTTTTTAAAGTACTCATTATGCACAGAGCATTTTTATATATATAGAAGATTATTTATACCCTGCCACCATGTCATTGTTATTGTGATTGTACTTATTGGAATGTTATTTTATGTCTTTTTTTCCTTTATGTAATTTCAATGATGTTGTTTATTGTTTATGCTCTGGTTTTATCTTTCTGTAATATGTTGTCCAGGCTTGGCCCCATGTAAGCCGCTCCGATTTCCTATTGGGGAGATGGTGGCGGGGTATAAATAAAGATTATAGCATCATAGAATCATAGAATCTAAAAGTTGGAAGAGACCTCATGGGTCATCCAGTCCCACCCCATTCTGCCAAGAAGCAGGAATATTGCATTCAAATCACCCCTGACAGATGGCCATCCAGCCTCTGTTTAAAAGCTTCCAAAGAAGGAGCCTCCACCACACTCCGGGGCAGAGAGTTCCACTGCTGAACAGCTCTCACATTCAGGAAGTTCTTCCTCGTGTTCAGATGGAATCTCCTCTCTTGTAGTTTGAAGCCATTGTTCCATCGCACCGGGAGCAGAAAACAAGCTTGCTCCCTCCTCCCTGTGGCTTCCTCTCACATATTTATACATGGCTATCATATCTCCTCTCAGCCTTCTCTTCTTCAGGCTAAACATGCCCAGCTCCTTAAGCCGCTCCTCATAGGGCTTGTTCTCCGGACCCTTTATCATTTTAGTCGCCCTCCTCTGGACACATTCCAGCTTGTCAATATCTCTCTTGAATTGTGGTGCCCAGAATTGGACACAATATTCCAGGTGTGGTCTAACCAAAGCAGAATAGAGGGGTAGCATGACTTCCCTAGATCTAGACACTAGGCTCCTATTGATGCAGGCCAAAATCCCATTGGCTTTTTTTGCCGCCACATCACATTGTTGGCTCATGTTTAACTTGTTGTCCACGAGGACTCCAAGATCTTTTTCACACGTCCTGCTCTCGAGCCAGGCCTCATCCCCCATTCTGTATCTTTGCATTATTATTATTATCTCCCCGGAGGGGACTCGGGGCAGCTAACATAGGCCAAGCCCGAAGATACAATACCCAACATCCCAACATCCATCCATATATATATATATATGTCTGCGTTTGCATGTGTGCGTGTGTCTATACTGCCATATAATCCAGTCCTAAGTAGATAATCTGGATTTTACAAAACAACAAAAAATACAAAACTACAAAAATTACATCAGAATAAAATACATACAGTAGCAAAATAAAGTAAAATAACATAATGGAAAATCAAACACAATGGGTGCGCCAAATGCACAAGATAAATGATAAAAGTATTGTCGAAGGCTTTCATGGCTGGAATCACTCAGTTCTTGTGGGTTTTTTCGGGCTATACGGCCATGTTCTAGAGGCATTTCTCCTGACGTTTTGCCTGCATCTATGGCAAGCATCCTCAGAGGTAGTGAGATCTGTTGGAACTAGGAAAAGGGGTTTATATATCTGTGGAATGGCCAGGGTGAGACAAAGACACCCAGCCCAACTTACAAAAGCCCCTTTGTCTCACCCTGGCCATTCCACAGATATATAAACCCCCTTTGTTCCCATTTACAGCAGACCTCACCTCTGAGGATGCTTGCCATAGATGCAGGCGAAACGTCAGGAGAAATGCCTCTAGAACATGGCCATATAGCCCGAAAAAACCCACAAGAACTACATGATAAAACTCTGGATGAGGTAGGAGTAGAAAAAGTCTATTTGAGAGGAGTCCAAAAGGGACAAACAGTGGGGTTAGGCCTTCAGTTTAGGACGTGGGAAAGTGCATCGTAAGGACAACACTGGAGATGGAACAGACAGAAATGGGATGACTGTTCACTCTCCAAAGGCACATTGGAAGAGCCAGGTTTTTAGAATAGGAAATCTCAGTTTTCATTAACCCAGCTGTAGAAAAAGCCAGCTCTTTTAACTTCTCTTTCTCTTTGTTTTTAGATATTGGAAGGTTACTAGCTGCTTTACAGAAAGCTGAAGAATATATGGAAGTGACGGACAACTTTGATGGCAAGGTAACTTAATAACAACCACAACAACAACAACAACAACTTTATTCTTGTGCCCCACCTCCATCTCCCCAAGGGGACTCAGGGCGGCTTATAGATGGCACAAAGTTTCTAAAACAGAGCATCAAAGAAACCACAAAATACAAGTACAATAAAATAGAAACATATGGCATATAAAATTTTATTTATTTATTTATTTAAAACATTTATATTCCGCCCTTCTCACCGCAAAGGGGACTCAGAGCGGCCTCCCCGAATGCTCGTAAATGGCGAGGCGGGACCTAGAGGGAGATGTGTTTGGATAAGTAAGCTGAGCAAAAACAAACACTTCTGTCTTTACCCAGCATGGAAGCAAGAGCAACCATTCTCAAATTTCAGCGAAATTTCCAGTTACCTTATGCCAGGGGAAACTTGGGCCCTCCAGGAGTTAGGAATTGTGGGAGTTGAAGTCCAAAACACCTGGAGGAGGGCTGAAGTTTGCCCATGCCTATTTATTTATCGTGTCAGTATCAATCAGACAATTGTATTACATTTTTAACAATTTTTTAACAAACAGACAAAACAGAGAGTTTGCAAGCTTGGTAGTTGATTAAATGTCCTTTGACCAGTCTCTGGCCCCTTGGAGTGCCTCTGGTGTTGCCGCAAGAAGATCCTCCATTGTGCATGTGGCAGGGCTCAGGTTGCATTGCAGCAGGTGGTTAGTGGTTTGCTCTTCTCCACACTCGCATGTCGTGGATTCCACTTTGTGCCCCATTTCTGAAGGTTGGCTCTGCATCTCGTGGTGCCAGAGCGCAGTCTGTTCAGCGCCTTCCAAGTCGCCCAGTCTCTGAGTGCCCAGGGGGGAGTCTCTCATTTGGTATCAGCCATTGATTGAGGTTTTGGGTTTGAGCCTGCCACTTTTGGACTCTCGCTTGCTGAGGTGTTCCAGCGAGTGTCTCTGTAGATCTTAGAAAACTATGTCTTGATTTAAGTCGTTGATGTGCTGGCTGATACCCAAACAAGGGATGAGCTGGAGATGTCTCTGCCTTGGTCCTTTCACTATTGGCTGCTACTTCCTGACGGATGTCAGGTGGTGCAATACCGGCTAAACAGTGTAATTTCTCCAGTGGTGTAGGGTGCAGACACCCCGTGATAATGCAGCATGTCTCATTAAGAGCCACATCCACTGTTTTAGGGTGGTGAGATGTGTTCCACACTGGGCATGCGTACCCAGCAGCAGAGTAGCACAGCGCAAGGGCAGATGCCCATGCGTGATGTAGTCTAATGCTTTTCCGTAACACTTTTTAAATGAACCACAAACCTGTGTCATTCCCATTCCCACCTTGTGCAATTCTTAGAGGCAAATAAATATCCAGAGTGTCATCTCTGAGTCGCCTTTTTGGCTGATATAGGCGGTATACAAAAGGAGTAAATAAATAATAAAATAAATAAATCTCTTTCCACGTTTGCTTTGGCAGGGCTACATCATCCAAAAGAGGGAGAAAAAGCCAAGCCTGGAGCCAGAAAAGCCAGCTGAGGAAATCCTCACGTAGGTATTGCAGATCAAAGAAGCCCTTGGGAAGCCTGTCTCGCTATCCCTTGGCAAACCTCTTCCAATGTCATGTCTCTTGCAGATACGAGGAGTTCCACCCTTTCTTGTTCTCGCAATACACCAAGTGCCCGTTCGTGGAGTTTGAATCTTTCAATAAGGTAAGATGCTCTGCTTTGAAGGAGCTTTCTCAATGTTGTGGAATGAGTCAGGGCTGTGAGGGTCTCAGGAATTATTGATTATTAAAAACCCAGACAGTTTTAATGACAAATTTTAAACTTCCTATTCAAAGATGAAGTACTTTGGCCACATCATGAGAAGAAAGGAAAGCTTAGCGAAGGGAATGATGCTGCGGAAAATGGAAGGAAAAAGGAATAGGGGCAAGATGGATGGCATCCTTGAAGTGCCTGGATTGACCTTGAAGGAGCTGGGGGTGGTGACGGCCGACAGGGAGCTCTGGCATGGACTGGTCCATGACATCACGAAGAGTCGGAAATGACTGAACGAATGAACAACAATTCTGTGTCTAACTTTTGTTTTGTGTATTTTATGGAAATATATTTTAGTATGTGTCTTCTACAAAGTGTTTTTAAATTATTATGTGTTTTAGCAATGTTGACAAGGAGATGCTCACGACAATGTTTTTATGGCTTTGTATTTATTTTATTTATTTATTTAGAAATTTTGTATACCGATCTCCTCACCTCCATCGAGGGACTCAGACCGGTTTCCAACAACAATATTACAAACAATCATTAAAAACATCATATTCCATATTACACTAAAACATTAAAATAGCAAAATATAGTCATATAATTACAATGGTCAGTCGTCACAATAAAATCGTTGTTCATCATCATCCATCCATATCACAGGATATTGACTCACTCGTCGAATGCCAGTTTCCAGAGCCAAGTTTTCACCTGTTTTCTAAACATCAAGATAGAAGGGGCAGTTCTGATCTCCAGTGGAAGAGAGTTCCAGAGTCGAGAGGCCACCACTGAGAAGGCCCTGTCCCTCGTCCCCACCAGCCGCACTTGTGAGGCTGGTGGGACCGAGAGCAGGGCCCCTCCAGACGATCTTAACAATCTTGATGGTTCATAGAGGAGAATACGTTGTACAGTTTTTTATATTCTTATATTTTATGCTAAACATTTTAATAGTATTTTATGATTGTTTTATTTGCTTATAATTGTTGAGGCATCAAATTGTTGCCAACTGTGAACCTCCCTGAGTCGCCTCTGGGTTGAGAAAGGCGGTATATAAATGTGGTAAATAAATAATAATAAATAATAATAAATGTTGTAACCCGCCTCGAGCCTTGAGGAGAGGCGGGTAAGAAATCCAATTATTATTACTATTATTATTTAAAATACCTTCATCATTCCTATCTTAATAATAATAATAATAATAATAATAATAATAATAATAATAATTTATTTGTACCCCACTACCATCTCCCCAAGGGACTCGGTGCGGCTTACATGAGGCCAAGCCCGCAGGTCATCAATAAAACAAAGGCAGTAACAAAATAATCAATATAAAACAGTAAAATAAATCTCAAAACAAAAATAAACAATAACAATGAACAATAACATACAAGCATTTAAAAACCAATCATTCCACCAATAAAGAGAACTCAAGGTAGCTAAAAACTTATTACAACAGTATATACTACAAAACCATACAAAACATTGATAATTATATTTCTATGTATAAATTATTTGAGAGCCAGCTTGGTATAGCGGTTTGAGCATTTGGCTGTGATCCTGGAGACCAGGGTTCAAACCCCTGCATTGGAGGCGATGACAAATACAGTAATGCATATTCAAAAAATATATCTGTGAATGCTTAACTGGCACATGTGGAGGGACGAATGACCTAGACATGTCAGACTACACAGAGAAGCCATTGAAATCCACAAGCATGTGGAAAATTTCAACAGAAAGGAGGAAACCATCAAAATGAACAAAATCTGGCTATCAGTATTAAAAAACTAAAAAGTACAATAGCAAAACAACAGAGAGGAAACAATCAAGGACATGTAATCACCTCTCAACAAAAGATTGCCCCAGGCACTGCCAGGCCATCAAATGCTAATCAAGGTGGTCAGTTGAAACATTCACACCTAGCTCCAGCAGACAAGAGTTCTTTGTCCCACCCTGGTCATTACACAGATATATAAACCCATTTTCCTAGTTCCAACAGACCTCACTACCTCTGAGGATGCTTGCCATAGATGCAGGCGAAACGTCAGGAGAGAATGCCTCTCGACCATGGCCATATAGCCCGAAAAAACCTACAACAACCCAGGATGGATTGTTGTTCCCTCGTTTCTCTCTGAAAAATCCTATCCAGTTATATTTTTACCTGTTCACGTCAGCATATTTTCAATTTTAATCTATTACATTTGGCCCAGCCATTTTAAAACTGTTTATATGTCACTATTGATAGTTGTTTTGTTATGTGATTTATATGATTTGTATTTTATTTATTGTTTTTATTAATGTTGTGTTATTGATGTTGTTTGATGTATTTTGGGCTTGGCCCCATGTAAGCCGCACCGAGTCCCATGGGGAGATGGTAGCGGGGTACAAATAAAGTTTTATTATTATTATTATTATTATTATTATTATTATTATTATTATAGTTTGTTTAAGCTTTTTTCCCTTCCTTCTTTCTGTGAGAAATTAGTGATCTGTTTGTAATTTCATTTACTTTTTCGAAAGGCCGTGGATGAATTCTACTCAAAGCTGGAGGGGCAGAAGATAGACTTGAAGGCATTGCAACAGGTAAGAGTTCACCTTTGAGGCAACGCTTGTATTGTCCTTTAGAGCAGGCACGGGCAGACTTTGGCCCTCCAGGTGTTTTGGACTCCAACTCCCACAATTCCTAAGAGCCTACCAGCTGTCTCGCTAATTATATTGGTTTTGCACTTTATGTTTTATTTTCTGGTTGTGTTATGCTTTTGTGTTATATTGTGTTTATTGTACTGATGGGCGTGGCCTCATGTAAGCTGCCCCGAGTCTCCCTGGGGGAGATGGAGCGGGGTATAAATAAAGTATTATTATTATTATTATTATTATTATTATTATTATTATTACATGAAGAAATTGGGGGGAGTCTCTCATCTGGTATCACCCACGGATTGAGGTGCTGGGTTTGAGCCTGCCACTTTTGGACTCTCGCTTGCTGAGGTGTTCCAGCGAGTGTCTCTGTAGATCTAAGAAAACTATTTCTAGATTCAAGTCGTTGATGTGCTGGCTGATGCCCAAACAAGGGATGAGCTGGAGATGTCTCTGCCTTGGTCCTTTCACTATTGGCTGCTACTTCCCGGATGTCAGGTGGTGCAATACCGGCTAAGCAGTGTAATTTCTCCAGTGGTGTAGGGCGCAGACACCCCGTGATAATGCGGCATGTCTCATTAAGAGCCACATCCACTGTTTTAGTGTGGTGAGATGTGTTCCACGCTGGGCATGCGTACTCAGCAGCAGAGTAGCACAGCGCAAGGGCAGATGTCTTCACTGTGTCTGGTTGTGATCCCCAGGTTGTGCCAGTCAGCTTTCGTATGATATTGTTTCTAGCATCCACTTTTTGCTTGATGTTCAGGCAGTGTTTTTCAGATGGGAACTGCCAATGGGGCATTTTTGAGGCGCCTCCCATAGAAGTAGTCACTCTTTCAGGTTCTGATACTGAGGCATAACAGAGACAAGGATATGGCCCTTGTTGTGGCTTAAACCTGGAGCCAGCAGTTCCATCGCATTGAGCAACAGCAGTTAAAGTGTTATAGAACCACATTAATTCCAAAGTGGAGATGCACACTGGATATTGCTAGCATCCTGCCAATATTTTTTGTCCTTCTCTCCCCAACCTTTTGACTTTCAAGGAGAAGCAAGCTCTGAAGAAGCTAGAAAATGTTCGGAAGGACCACGAGCACAGGTTGGAAGCCCTTCACCAAGCCCAGGTAGAGTCCCCCACCCAGCGTGCTTCATAATCTTCATAAACTAGACAGCGAAAGAGTTTGATTGCACAAACAACACCATAATGGGTGAAGATTTGGGGTCACGGGGCAACTCTCCCCCTGTGGGTCGGGGGTGGCAGCAAAACACACAAATGAAGTACCAAAAATGAGGAGAAACAACAAAACAGAAGGGGTCAAAACCCAATTTCAAGAGAAGAAAATAGTCCTTTTTTTCTCAGGGCAAAAACTAACTAGGAGTGACTTTCTAACTAAGTCATGAAGGTTTCAACTGACCACCTTGATTAGCATTTGATTGCCTGGCAGTGCCTGGGGCAATCTTTTGTTGAGAAGTGATTAGATGTCCTTGATTGTTTCCTCTCTGTTGTTTTGCTGTTGTAATTTTAGAGTTTTTTTAATACTGGTAATTATGAAAATGAACAAAATCTGGCTACCAGTATTAAAAAACTCTAAAATTACAACAGCAAAACAACAGAGAGGAAACAATCGGGGACAGCTAATCACCTCTCAACAAAAGATTGCCCCAGGCCCAGTGATTCCGGCCATGAAAGCCTTCGACAATATGCTAATCAAGGTGGTCAGTTGAAACATTCACACCTAGCTCCAGCAGACAAGAGTTCTTTGTCCCATCCTGGTCATTCCACAGATATATAAACCCTTTTTCCTAGTTCCAGCAGACCTCACTACCTCTGAGGATACTTGCCATAGTTGCAGGCGAAACGTCAGGAGAGAATGCCTCTAGAACATGGCTATACAGCACGAAAAAAACTACAACAACCCAATCAACTGTTTGCTTATACTCTGGACTCTGTGGTGCTGTGATTATTGGTGGCTTCAGGCCTAGGGTACAACACCTGGGTCATTTGCAGTCCAGCTTTCAATCCTCAATTTCTCTTCTTCCTCCCCCCCCCCCCAAGGAAATTGACAAAGTGAAAGGAGAACTTGTGGAGATGAACCTGGAGATGGTGGACCGCGCCATCACGGTGGTCCGGAGCGCCCTGGCCAACCAGATAGACTGGACGGAGATCGGGTCACTGGTCAAGGAGGCCCAGGCACAAGGGGACCCCGTGGCCAGTGCCATCAAGGAGCTGAAGCTGCAGACCAACCACATCACCATGCTCCTCAAGTAAGCGGGCTGTGGGTGGGATTTGGGGAAGATATTCAGTTTCAAATGCAATTTTAAATTTTACGAGTATTTTTATTGCATCTTAACTCCATTTAATTATATATATATATATATATATATATATATATATATATATATATATAAAATACATTATATACACACTAGCCGTCCCCTGCCACGCGTTGCTGTGCCCCAGCCTGTGTATATATGTTTTGTGTGTGTATATATGTGTATATGTGTGTATTTATATATTTGTGTACATGTGTATTTATGTGGTTATGCACATGCGTTGTAATGTGTTTTTCAGTGTTTTTATGAGTGACTATGGCCAAACCTTCCCTCCCTCTTTCTTTCCTTTCTTTCTCTCCTTCCTTCCTTCCCTCCCTCTTTCCTTCCTTTCCTCTTTTCCTTCTACTTTCCCTTTTTCTTTCTTCCTTCTCTACCTGTTTCTTTCGTCCCTTCCTTTGCTCTCTCTCTTTCCTTCCTTCTTTCACTTTTTTATTTCCTTCGCTTCTTCCTTCCTTTTCTACCTTTCTTTCTTTCGTTCCTTCTCTCCTTCCCTCCTTCTTTCCCTCTTTCTCTTCTTCCTCCCTCCCTTCCTTCCTCCTTTGTGTATATATGTGTGTTTGTGTGTATATATATGCACATATGTGTGTATATATTTCTGTATATGTGTATATATGTGTGTTTGCATTTATATATGTGGTTTTGTGCATGCGTTGTAATGTGTTTTTCAATGTTTTTATGAGTGATGGACACTCGTTGGCCTGATAGGTATGTTGTGTCCAAATTTGGTGTCAATTCACCAAGTGGTTTTTGAGTTATGTTAATCCCACAAACCAACATTACATTCATATATATATACACACACACACATATATACATACATACACACAGACACAGACACACACATATATATATCTAACCTATGACTCTCTCTCCGAAGGGACTCAAACTTTTCAACTTGTATCCATGACACAAATTTCTAATTGAGTTTCATCCCCCCCCCCCCAATGTTTTTAATTTAGTTGGGTTGTGTCTTGTTATTTCCCCCTGTGGCGCAATGGGTTAAATCCTTGTGTCAGTAGGATTGCTGACTGACAGGTCAGTGGTTTGAATCCAGCAAGAGTGGGTTGAGCTCCCTTTGTCAGCTGTGGCTCCCCATGCGGGGACACGAGAGAAGATTCCCACAAGGATGGTAAGACATCAAAACATCTGGACAATGTCCTCTGAGCAACGTGTTAGCGTTAGTGGAAGTTTTGCACAGACTTAGAAAAAAACATAGACTCTGGAGACGTCTGGTTACAAAGCAGGTTCAATTTACTTAGAGCAGTTCCAAAACACATCCATTACAGTAAGCGAGCAGACATTAAGTACTCAGTACACAAAGGAAGTAGAAGTGTAAACAATTCTGCAGCTGCTTGGCAGATACCAGACACTCCCTAATTTTCTCACAGCTCCACACAGAGAGTGTCTCAGGGTTACTTTCTCACAGCCTCTAACAAAAACAACAAGTCAGTACACATAATAGCAAAATACAGGTTAAGCATTAAAATAATATTAAACCACAACAGAAACAATAAAACCAACATCATTATCATCAGCGTCTCCTAGTTAAAAACGTTGTCCAGTTCCGTTGTCAAGTGATTCCATTTCCTTCTACTCTAACAGCAAAATGTGAAGAAACTTTTGTTCTTTCGCAAATAAGCAGGAAGGCTTTTCTTTCTCCTTTGTTGCAGCAGTATACAACAAAGGAGAAAGAATACGGAATGAGATGATGTCCTACACAGATGATGTCCAAATTTGTCACTCACCTGTCACCAAGGAGGCTGTCCAGGCCTTGAATCGGTGCTTGGCTGCTGTGTCAGATTGGATGAGAGCTAACAAATTGAAATTGAATCCAGACAAGACAGAGGTACTCCTGGTCAGTCGTAAGGCTGAACAGGGCATAGGGTTACAGCCTGTGCTGGATGGGGTTACACTCCCCCTGAAGACGCAGGTGCGCAGCTTGGGAGTGATCCTGGACTCATCGCTGAGCCTGGAACCCCAGGTCTCAGCGGTGGCTGGGAGAGCTTTTGCACAATTAAAACTTGTGCGCCAGCTGCGCCCGTACCTTGGGAAGTCGGATCTGGCCACGGTGGTCCACGCTCTTGTCACATCCTGATTAGATTACTGCAATGCACTCTACGTGGGGTTGCCTTCGAAGACTGTTCGGAAACTTCAATTAATCCATCGGGAGGCAGCCAGATTACTCACCGGAGTGTCATACAGGGAGCATACAACCCCTCTGCTATGTCAGCTCCACTGGCTGCCGATCCAGTTCCGAGCACAATTCAAAGTACTGGTTTTGACCTACAAAACCCTATACGGTTCCGGCCCAGTGTATCTGTCCGAACGGATCTCCCTCTACGTCCCACCTCGGAGTCTAAGATCTTCTGGGGAGGCCCTGCTCTCGACCCCGCCTCTATCACAAGTGAGATTGGCGGGGACGAGGAGCAGGGCCTTCTCAGTGGTGGCCCCTCACCTGTGGAATTCACTCCCCGGGGAAATTAGATCAGCGACATCCCTCCTTTCCTTTAGGAAAAAATTGAAAACTTGGATTTGGGACCAGGCATTTGGACATTCTGGCAGCTAAAGAAAGGACTTGACGATGGACAGGAATTGACAAAACGGAATGGAACTATGGAACTCTGAACGCTGAACATGAGATTAGTTTTACTGATTGTGTTATGTACTGATTATTTTAATTCGCTAATTGTTTTAACTGCTGTTTTGTATGTATGTATATCTTGTGTAGGCATCGAATTCTGCCTTTTTTTAAGCCGCCCTGAGCCCCCCTTCCCCGGGGGTTGAGAAAGGCGGGGTAGAAGTACCAGAAATAAATAAATAAAATAAGTATACGAAATATACACAAATATACTAACTTTGCAGCTTCTTCCTCCTCACTACTCAGAGCAGCAATTCTCCAACACACCATTTGTCCCTCAACAACCCTCATCAAATGTAATTTGTGGCAGCCACAATAATTAAATTTCTAGAGTTGAACAACTACTTTCAATGTAAGGAATTAAACAAGATTTTCAAACCAGGAACAGATTTCCCCCCCCAAATTTTGTAATTAATAAGAGAGATGTATTTTTTTCTGCTTCCCTAGAAACCCTTACGTATTCTCCGAAGAGGAGGAGGAGGAGGATGATGGAGAAGTCGAAGAGGAGGTGGAAGAAGAGACCAAGGGAAAGAGAAAGAAGAACAAAGCCAAGCAGCTGAAGAAACCTCAGAAGAACAAGCCCTTGCTGGTGGACCTGGATCTCAGCCTGTCTGCCTACGCAAATGCCAAAAAGTAAGGAGCCAGAGGTGTTGGCTACGTCCTCCTGAGAGAAGGTCTTGGAGTACAGTGTTGTGACTCAGTTTGACTCTGAAGCTGAGCCTTGTGGGTCTTGTGAGCCAGAGTTCCCTGATGAGGAGGATGATGGGTTACAGATTTCTGTTCACTCAGACAGGGGTTAAAGGTGAGGCTGCAGAAGGGGAAACAGCAAGTCAGTTCTCAGGGGAAAAGAATGTCAGTGAGACTGATAACGGGAGTGAATTCCCACACGGCCAGGTGGAGATGTCTTTGCCTTCCCAAGGTGATCCAGCCCAGCTGGTAAACCAAGTTAAGGGATTAGAGAGCCTTGAAGATAATGAATTAATGAGCAGGCAAGATCGCCTGCAATTGAGGGTCCGGAGAAGTTTTCGCTTACCTAGTAAGCGAGATGCCAAGTCAGCCAAGGGTCATCGCAATGCATTCATGATTGCAAAGGGTATTTAGCCTTCTCACTGACACACAGGCGTTGTCAGTTCAACGTGGCTCTTTCCATGCAAACTTCTATGGATCAACCTTGGCTTTCAGCAGCACGCTTCTGGCTTCCTGATTCTGGGATTTTGGGTCTTGTGTTCAACTGTTTTACCATGGATTCTTGTTTGACCATTGCTTAAAGGATTATGCTTCATGTTTTTGCCTTTGGATCTTTGCATTGAAGCCTGTGTTTTGCCTATGGAGCTATTGCATTTGCTTTACCTTGTTTTGACTTTTCCTTTTTCTCAATAAACTACAAAATCTACAGCTTTGGTGTGGTGGTGTTTAGAAGCTAGGTGAAAACGACCCTGAGTTGCAACATACAGCATCATAGGCCATTTTGTCGTGTCAGGGCAACCAGTCAACTGTATTACATTTCTAACAGAACCAAACAAACAAACAGACAAAATACAAAATTTGCGAGCTTGGTAGTTGATTAAATGCCCTTTGACCAGTAGCTGGCCACTTGGAGTGCCTCTGGTGTTGCTGCAAGGAGGTCCTCCATTGTGCATGTGGCAGGGCTCAGGTTGCATTGCAGCAGGTGGTCAGTGGTTTGCTCTTCTCCACACTCGCATGTCGTGGATTCCACTTTGTGGCCCCATTTCTGAAGGTTGGCTCTGCATCTCGTGGTGCCAGAGCACAGTCTGTTCAGCGCCTCCCAAGTCGCCCAGTCTTCTGTGTGCCCAGGGGGGAGTCGCTCATTTGGTATCAGCCATTGGTTGAGGTTCTGGGTTTGAGCCTGCCACTTTTGGACTCTTGCTTGCTGAGGTGTTCCAGCGAGTGTCTCTGTAGATCTTAGAAAACTATTTCTTGATTAATCAAAGTCGTTTGCGTGCTGGCTGATACCCAAACAGGGGATGAGCTGGAGATGTCTCTGCCTTGGTCCTTTCACTATTAGCTGCTACTTCCTGGCGGATGTCAGGTGGTGCAATACGGCTAAGCAGTGTAATTTCTCCAGTGGTGTAGGGCGCAGACACCCCGTGATAATGCGGCATGTCTCATTAAGAGCCACATCCACTGTTTTAGTGTGGTGAGATGTGTTCCACACTGGGCATGCATACTCAGCAGCAGAGTAGGACAGCGCAAGGGCAGATGTCTTCACTGTATCTGGTTGTGATCCCCAGGTTGTGCCAGTCAGCTTTCGTATGATATTGTTTCTAGCACCCACTTTTTGCTTGATGTTCAGGCAGTGCTTCTTGTAGGCTGTGCATCTTAATAAATGGCTTGTCCCAGGCATGGGTAAACTTGGGCCCTCCTTCCAGGTGTTTTGGACTTCAACTCCTACTGGCTGTTAGTAATTGTGGAGTTGAAGTCCAAAACACCTGAAGGGAGGCCCAAGTTTGCCCATAACTGCTATAAATCATTTGGAAATATAATATACAACTCCAAGGTACATGGCAAATTTTAACATTCTGCCAAAACTCCCCAATTCATTAGGAGTCTTGTTAAAGATCCTGCCAAACGGACTAAGTGATAATTATGCTAACAGTAAGACTTTCCTATGTTTTTCTCAATGTTAATGTTAATGTGGTGGTATTTTCCCTTAGATATTATGATCACAAAAGATTTGCTGCCAGAAAAACCCAGAAAACAGTAGAAGCAGCTCAAAAGGTATGTGTATGTATGTATTTCAGTGGTTTTTCTGCCCTTTCTTCCTTTAGAAGGGACTTCAAACCGCCACTTTGATCATCTTTCCTCTGTCTTGTGTGAAATTATCTTGCGTCTTCACCTCCTCCTGACATAGGTGTTCGTCTTCAGGTAACGAAGCATTGTGTTCTGAGTTTGACTTGAAAGAGCATTGTCCTTGATTAATGTAAACATGCTGTTTTTTCCTCCAAAAGTTCAACAGTTAATTATCGTCACAGTTCATACCAACAATTTTTAATGACAGTTCCTGAGTGTAGTTGTTTTCCAGGCCTCAGTCTTCAGAATGGTGTCTCCAACCTTATTCGCTCCCATTCATTCATCATTCATACAATTCCATTCAAACCATACATGATATATCTTCCATGACAAAGATTTGGTAACCGATGAACATGTAGGATTTTGGCATTCTTTATTTCACCCAAACAGGCCTTCAAATCAGCAGAGAAGAAGACCAAGCAAACTCTGAAAGAGGTTCAAACGGTGACCACCATTCAGAAGGCGCGGAAAGTATACTGGTGAGTCCCAGTATGAGATGGAAGTGGTGGTGGCTGCTGGGCCTTTTTGGTAAAACTGTGCTCTTCATCACTGTTAAGGTACAAAAAAGCCAGAATTTTTAAAGAAAAAACAAAGAATTTGGAAGATGTCTTGTCGAAGGCTTTCATGGCTGGAATCACTGGGTTGTTGTAGGTTTTTCAGGCTGTATGGCCATGCTCTAGAAGCATTCTCTCCTGATGTTTTGCCTGCATCTATAGCAGGCATCCTCAGAGGTTGTGAGGTCTGTTCCTAGCTCCAACCAGGCGAAACATCAGGAGAGAATGCTTCTAGAGCATGGCCATATAGCCCGAAAAACCTACAACAACACAATTTGGAAGATCTAGTTGTGCCACCCAAAGTCCATGGGCCCACACAATTCCCACCTTGCTTATTTATTTATTTATTATTTACAGTATTTATATTCCACCCTTCTCACCCTGCAGGGGACTCAGGGTGGATTACAGTGTACACATATATGGCAAACATTCAATGCCAATTTGACACACAACGTATACAGACATACACAGAGGCTATTTAACTTTTTTCTGGCCGCCAGGGGAGCTGTCGCTTTCATCGTCCATCTGCGACACTGAGGAAGTACTTCCGCATTCCCCGCATGCTTCCCCGCTGGAATACTTTGCTGGAGTCTTCTTTATGGCCTCATAAATTAGTTAATTTAGCCTCCCCACACAAGGTGGTACCTAATTTTCCTACTTGACAGATGCAACTGTCTTTCGGGTTGCAAAGGTCGACAACAGGCTACACAATTGGTTGGAAGCCCACTCCAACCCGGGCTGGCTTCGAACTCATGACCTTTTTGGTCAGAGTGATCTTAATGCAGCTGACACTCAGCCAGCTGCGCCACAATCCCGGTGCTTGAAGCATTTGATTGAAGAGACCCTGTTGTTACCCTAACAAGACTTAAATCAACTAGCTTTACGTATCAATTGACTTAAGGTAGGAGAAGGGGAAGTTAGAAGAAGGAATTCCATGCAGTCTTGTGGGAGGCCAGCAAAATGTGCTTTTGATCCCAGCCTGCCCTTTGACAATCCTTTTGATTCCTTTTCCTTGTGCTAATGTTTTGCCTCTGCCTTGATGTCATCTGGCAGGTTTGAGAAATTCCTGTGGTTCATTAGCTCTGAAAATTACCTTGTTATCGCTGGGAGAGACCAACAGCAAAACGAGATGATCGTCAAGAGATACCTGCGGCCAGGTGAGTCTGGGAGATCTCCTCCATCAATTCAGAAAAAAAAAGGTCCCAGTCTCTTGTGTATCTTAGAAGTACCAACATTGCCTAAAAACACGCATGTGATTGAGCCAACCTGAGTGTTGTGACTCAGCTGGAACCACAGAGTGTCTCTGATGAGGATGATGGGACTCAGGTTCACAGTCTGGTTCAAAATGTCCCTGTTATAGACAGTGAAGAAGTGCAGTTTCCCACAGCAAGGCATGAGAGTGTTGATACTGAAAATAGCCAGGTGCAGGTGCTGATTGACTCAGAGAAGGAGTACAGCTCTCAGCCTGAGCCTGATAATGAGCAAGAAGGAAAACAGGCTGACACTAACAAGCAGACTGACCTTGACGAAATGGGAGCCTTAGATTGGGCTGACCGTTTGGAATTCAGAGTTCGAAGGAGTGTGAGAATAGCTAACAAGAAGGAGGTCAGAGGCCGAAGAAACGCCTTCATGTTTTGTAAAGGGTATTAAGCAGTGTGTTTGAGACCAAACCTTTGTCAAAGCAACTTTTCATTTAACTAAGAAGCTTGCCTTTACTTGTCTGGATTATGTTGGAGTTCTAGTGTTCATGTTTTCAGGACTTTGTCATGTTCTCTTGGGTTTTTGCTTTGCTGGTGCCTTTTTGGATTAAGCTTCAAAGTGCTATTTTGTATTGATCTTTTGGAACATTTACCTTTGCTTTTAAGAACTTTTTATCTTTTACTAGCTGTCCCCTGCCACGCGTTGCTGTGGCCTAGTCTGGTGATCTGGAAAATAAAGTAATGGTTTCTAATATATGTAATGTCTTTATGCTTGTGGGTAAACAGTATTCCTTGTTGTTTCTATTTCAGTGTTGATGTGGAGATTGTTTCGTTTGCCTACTTTGGAACATGCAACATATCATTGTCCTTCTTTAGGGGCCCCTTTCAAATTATGATACTATATCTGTGTGTGTGTGTGAATCATATCTATCTATTTATCTATCTATCTATCTATCTATTGCTGGATGGCTCTTTGTCAGGAGGACTTTGATTACGTTTTCTTGCCCTGATGAAGGGAGTTGGATTGGATGTCCTTAAGTATTTTCTGTTGGTCATGGGGGTTCTGTGTGGGAAATTTGCCCCAATTCTGTCATTTGTGGGGTTCAGAATGCTCTTTGATTGTAGGTGAACTATAAATCCCAGTAATTACAACTACCAAATGTCAAGGTCTATTTCCCCCAAACTCCATCTGTGTTCATATTTGGGCATATTGAGTGCTTGTGCCAAGTTTGGTCCAGATCCATCAGTTGTCAGCATTGTTTGAGTCCACAGTACTCTCTGGATGTAGGTGAACTACAACTCCAAACTCAAGGTCAATGCCCACCAAACCCTTCCAGTATTTTCTGTTGGTCATGGGAGTTCTGTGTGCCAAGTTTGGTTCAATTCCATCATTGGTGGAGTTCAGAATGTTTTTTGATTTAGGTGAACTATAAATCCCAGCAACTACAACTCCCAAATGTCAAACTATTTCCCCAACTCCACCACACAAAAAACTAAACTACTACACAAAACGAACGAAAAAACTCTATTATACTCCCAAATGGAACAAGAAAAACAAATCCAATAATTTTTTTGAGTGATTGTCATTCCTCCTTGTGTTGTGATTAGAGACAATTTTGTTTTATTGGTGTTTTGGGATTTTTGTTGTGTCCCGAAATTTTGTGGTGATTCTCATATTTCATTCATTATTCATTGGGTCTTTTTCTTTTTGTTTTCCTAAGGTGACTGTATTCCATTATAGCGGATGTGAGAGCTGGACCATAAGGAAGGCTGAGCGAAGGAAGATAGATGCTTTTGAACTGTGGTGTTGGAGGAAAGTTCTGAGAGTGCCTTGGACTGCCAGAAGATCCAACCAGTCCATACTTCAGGAAATAAAGCCCGACTGCTCATGGAGGGAAGGATATTAGAGGCAAAGATGAAGTACTTTGGCCACATAATGAGAAAACAGAAAAGCTTAGAGAAGACAATTATGCTGGGGAAAGTGGAAGGAAAAAGGAAGAGGGGCCGACCAAGGGCAAGATGGATGGATGGCATCCTTGAAGTGACTGGCTTGACCTTGAAGGAGCTGGGGGTGGTGACGGCCGACAGGGAGCTCTGGCGTGGGCTGGTCCATGAGGGCACGAAGAGTCGGAGACGACTGAACGAATGAACAACAACAACATATATATATATATATATATATATATATATATATATATATATATAAAATAAACTATAAAGACTTCTGGCTGTGTGCAGTTTGGTGTTTTCAGCAAGGTGAATCTACTCTGAGGTGCAACACTGAGCTCATCTTTTGGATCTAGGATGCCAAATTTCTATCAAATTTCTGTTTTTGCGACCCTTGGTTTTGCAAGCTAATCACTCTTGTTATCTCTTTGTGTTGCTTCTTCTGTGCAAGGTGACATCTATGTTCACGCTGACCTCCACGGAGCAACCAGTTGTGTCATCAAGAACCCAACAGGTAATACTTTCGGGGAAGTGAATGTAAAACGGGGCCCTCAAATGTACTTTCACTGCCGTTCCTAACTCTTGGCGCATGGTGAGGGTTGGTGTCTGGAGTGCTGTGTTATTTTCAAATCCTGCTTTCAGGGATGAATAACGAGTCTCTTTTGAGGCAACTTTTCTGAATAGCTTTTGGTTTGTGTTTGGGATTCTCCCCAAGTGACCCCCTCTTGTCCCTGTGTTTCAGGAGACCCGATCCCCCCACGGACGCTCACGGAGGCAGGCGCCATGGCCCTCTGCTACAGCGCTGCCTGGGACGCACGGGTTATCACCAGCGCCTGGTGGGTGCACCACCATCAGGTAAGGGGCTTTCTCGGCTGGCGGGTTTCTCAGAAAGAGGCGCAAAATACCCACTTGGGTGGGTGAGAAATGGGGAGTATTTTGGGGATGGAGCATAGTGCAGGGGGCATCTGGACCCAGCTCAAAAAGTTAAACAGCTGCTCCTATAACTGATTATTGTTGTTCTTGTTGTTCTTGTTGTTGTTATGATTATACTATGTAACAAAATGTGAAAAATATTCTCTTCCTGGTTTGAAAGTGTTATTATTCCCTGTTTAATTGTGCGGTCCTTACTTTGAAAGTAGTTGTTAATACTCCAGGAACTTTGTTTTTGTGGCTGCCACAAGCTAGGTTGAATGAGTTGAGACTCAGTGAGATGTTCATTGGAAAACTAGAGCAAAATGTGCTGCAGGAGGATGTCCCTCCCGCGTAAATAGAGTTTTTGCAGTTTGAGAAACTTTTCTCATGTTTTTATAATAGAACCAATTAGAAAATGACATTATCACCCAGGAGCAAAAATTGTGTTACTTCTTGTTGTTGTTGTTGTTGTTGTTATTATTTGAAACGCAATAAATGAGTCCACAGGAGACACTCTGCTGGCTGTTGTATTGGATCACACATCGGACACTTCCCAAGTGTCTAGGACTGTGTGATGTATCGGCGAATAATGCGTGCAGATCCCAGTAAGGTGGCTTTCTGCAGCTGGCAGGTGGTAATTTTGTCAGCGCCGATTGTGTTTAAGTGCAGGCCAAGGTCTTTAGGCACTGCACCCAGTGTGCCGATCACCACTGGGACCACCTTTACTGGCTTGTGCCAGAGGCTTTGCAGTTCGATTTTTAAATCCTCATATCGTGTCAGCTTTTCCAGTGGCTTCTCTGCAATCCTGTTGCAGGCAGATGGTATTTGTGGCACAAATACCATCTGCCACAAATACCATCTGAGCAACTGCTTGTAGTCTGTCTGCACGATCTTCTCGCAGCAGCTAAGGATGTGATCTACTGTTTCATCTGCTTCCTTGCAGAGTCTACATTTGGGATCTGTTGTCGACTTTTCAATTCTGGCTTTAATGGCATTGGTTCGAATTGGTTCTTGATGATGATGATGATGATGATGATGATGATGATGATGTTTATTTATACGCTGCTTTATCTCCCTCAAAGGAGACTCTTTGCCAAGCCTACTTGGTAGAGAAGGCTGAAGGCCTTGTAAAATTACAAGGCCTCCCACTATTCTACAGTAGTGTTTCTCAAACTCTGCTCTTGCAAATGTTTTGGACTTCATTTCCCTCAGTTTGTAATAGCTGGCAATATGGCTGGGATTTCTGGGAGCTGAAGTCCAAAACACCTGGAGGAGGAGAGCTTGAGAAAGACTGTTCTACAGTATAGATGCCCACCAGGACTCCTTAGTTAACTTACTGTCTTTCACATATAGGATTATGAATGGGTTCAAGGGGTTTCAAAAGCTTTTTTTTAGTATTTTTGCAGACGTCCTTATGTCCATAAAATTCCCCTTTGAATGAAGAATAGAAGCAGACTGGAATGTGACCAAATTTCCCTGGGCAGATGGTCAGCTTAGACCAGTAGTTCTCAACCTTCCTAATGCTGCAACCCCTTAATACAGTTCCTCATGTTGTGGTGACCCCCAACCATTATTATTATTATTATTATTATTATTATTATTATTATTATTATTATTATGTTTATACCCTGCTTTTTCTCCCCACAAGGAGATATATTTGTTTACTTTATTATTTGTCTATACTGCATTTCTCCTGATATGGGGACTCAATGCAGCCAATAATAATAGTAAATAAATTGGATTTATACCCCTCCACCATCTCCCTGAAGGGACTTGGAGCGGCTGACAGATGCACTTCGAAGTTCTGCATGCAAAACAAACAAAATATAAGCATACAAAACAGCAGCATAAATCTAAAAAGCAACAAAACACATAAATAAGTGACAATAAGTGTAACACAATGCAAATTCATTGCCTTACACTTATATAAAGTGTGTGTGTATACACACACACACTATTAAACCATTGTAGTTATTAGTTATTTAGTTATTGCACCGGGACTGTGGCACAGCTGGCTGTCAGCTGCATCAAGAGCACTTCTGACTGAAAGGTCATGAGTTTGAAGCCAGCCCGGGTCGGAGTGAGCTTCCGACCAATTGTGTAGCTTGTTGTCGACCTTTGCAACCCGAAAGACAGTTGCATCTGTCAAGTAGGAAAATTAGGTACCCGTTTTTGGTCAAAAGATATTTAGCTGACTGCGCTGCTTCTATTTTTATCAGTTTTATACTAATTTATGCAATGCTTTTGATACGAAATAAAAATATCCACCAAGTACCCGATGGCGCAATGGGTTAAACCTTTGTGCTAGCAGGACTAAAGACCAACGGGTCAGAGGTTCGAATGCGGGGGAGCCATGCGGGGACATGAGAGAAGCCTCCCATAAGGATGATAAACTGTCAAAACATCTGGCCGTCCCCTGGGCACCGTCCTTGCAGATGGCCAATTCTCTCACACCAGAAGCAACTAGCAGTTTCTCAAGTCACTCCTGACATGACAAAAAAAAAAAAAAAGCACATCGTAAACTTGCTTCTTTACAGTCCGATTGTAACATTGTGAACTAACTAACTGTTATCACTACTAGTCCACACCTCCTGCATTCCAAAGTGAGGTATGACGCTGTGTCCATTTGTTCTACACACTTGATTTATGATCTCTTTAGGAATGCCGTTCCCTTCATGGTTCAGTTAACTCCAGAGCAAGCTCCAGAGTCTGGGAACAGCCACCAAAAAGGCCATTTGCCCACCTTTTGGGGGTCATAAAGGGGGAGGGGGCAGCCTGACGGTTCAAGGACTATGTGAACAACTTTGGGGACTCTCTCCTCCCACTGAGAGCCCATACAGACTGAGAGGGGATTGAGACACACTTCAAATAATAACATAATAATAACTAAAACTTTCTGCAGGTGTCCAAAACAGCCCCCACTGGAGAATACCTGACAACCGGAAGCTTCATGATCCGAGGTAAGATATCTGACTTTTTCTGCCGTTCTAATGGCAGATGGGCTGGAGGGAAGGAAGGAATCACTTGGCGAAAGTGGACCCATTTCTGATCCCAAACCAGCATCTCCTCTTATTCAAATGACGGAGTGACCTTTTCTTGTTTTTTCTCCCCAGGAAAAAAGAATTTTCTCCCACCTTCCTATTTAATGATGGGCTTCAGCTTCCTCTTTAAGGTACGATGCCTTTCATGCATTGCCTTGTTTTGAAAGTATTAAAAAATACAGTCTGCAACCTATATTTGTGGATATGATTGATATGTTTGCATTCGGGATCTCTGTGTTCTCCAGCTCGACTTTGCAGAGTTCGCAGAGTTGCATTGGAAGATCTAGACCAGGCATGGGGCCAACTTTGGCCCTCCCTCCTGGTGTTTTGGACTCCAACTCCCACAATTCCTAACAGCCTACCGGCTGTTAGGAATTGTGGAAGTTGAAGTCCAAAACACCAGGAGGGAGGGCCAAAGTTGGTTGACCTGTCTCCTGTGGAAACCCAAAGTGCTCCGTCTTCTCTTCCAGGTGGATGAGTCCTGTGTTTGGAGGCACAAAGGTGAGCGGAAGGTGAAAGTGCAAGACGAAGACATGGAGACGGTGACCAGCAGCGCCACTGAGCTGGCGGCAGAGGAAACCGAGCCTTTAGGTACGCTTTCCATCACGCAGTGTCCTCCATCATCTGTTCACCCTCTCTACACTTTGCACTTTTTGTTTCTGGCCATTGGTATTTTGAACCTGTCTGATGGAGCTATAATGAAATTGGTTTTAATTTTTTTGTATGTTTTTGTAGGATTGTATGTTTTGTGATGTTTATTTTAATTTTATTTGTCTGTGTGCTTTTTCTATTTGGCAATTAGCTGTTTTGCCGAATAGGAAAACCACCCTGAGTCCTCTTGGGGAGATAGGGTGGTATATAAATAAAGTTTTATTTTATTACTAGCTGTACTTGCTATGCATTGCTATGGCCAACCTTCCCTCCCTCATTCTCTCCTTTCTTTCTTTCCTTCCTTCCTTCTCTTCCAAGTCTTCCCTTCCTCCCCCCCCTTTTCTTTCCCTTCCCTCTTTCTCCCCTTTTTCCTTCTCTTCCTATTCTTGAACTGCAACTCCCAGCAGCCCTCCTGATCGATCTACCTACCTACCCATCTATCTCCATCTAATCTATCTATCTGGAGGATTGCTGGGAGTTGCACTCCAGGAATAGGAAATTGGAAATATGCAGGGATTGGGATGCTCTCCAAGAAATCCAAGGCGAAGAAAGCTTACAGCTTGGAAGCAGCGCATTTGGATCTTCCTCCTCTCCTCAAGGGCCTGGTCTAGGGGATGCTGGGAGCTGTAGTCTGGAAGAGAGTGTGGATATGCTGTTGTGTGTTTTGTTTGCCAGGGGAGATATTTTTGCACATGCGCTGTAGCATCTTTTTGTGGTTTTTTTGGCTTTTCAAGTTCCTTCCATTGTGTTTTTCAGTGTTTCTATGAGTGATGGTCACTCGTTGGCCTGATAGTTGTATTGTGTCCAAATTTGGTGTCAGTTCATCCAGTGGTTTTTGAGTTATGTTAATCTCACAAACTATCATTACATTTTTATTTATATAGATATTAGTATATATGAATATATATGAGCATTCACATATATCTAATATATGATCCCAATGTCAAGTATTATAAGGATATAGATAGATAGCCGATAGATATTGCAGTATAGGGTCATACAGAAAGCATATTGGATATCAACAATAGTGATATGTGATTATATGTAGCAGAGGTACATGGCAGGACAGAAGGAACATGGCAGGGCCTGAAGATAAAATCAATGTGGATTTTGGATTTTGGACTTCTTTATGAATTCCAATAATAATAATACTAATACTCTGGGACTTCTGAATTCAGACTGACAGAGTTTTGGAGCACAATACTCCTGACCTCACAATCATGTTAAAAAACCAAGTATGGATTGTTGATGTTGCAATCCCAGGTGACAGCAGGATTGAAGAGAAACAACTGGAAAAGCTAACACGATATGAGGATTTAAAGATTGAACTGCAGAGACTCTGGCACAAGCCAGTCAAGGGGTCCCAGTGGTGATCAGTACACTGGGTGCAGTGCCTAAAGACCTTGGCCTGCACTTAAACACAATGAGTGCTGACAAGGCCACCTTACTGGGATCTGCACGCATTATTCGCCGATATATCACACAGTCCTAGACACTTGGGAAGTGTCCAATGTGAGATCCAATACAACAACCAGCAGAGTGATGATGATGGTATTTCTTGCCCGCCTCTCTTTGTAGCTCTAGGCAGGTTACAACATAGCAAATAAATAAATAAATAAATAAATAAATAAATAAATAAATAAAACCTCATAGCAAAAACCCACATATTTCTACAGAATACATACACAGAATAATAAATAAAATACAGTCAACAGGAAACATGAGTGTAAAGTTCATGATTAAAACAAGCTTAAATATTATTAGAACAAGAGGATTCAGAGCCATGAGTTCAAATGAAAGGAAAGGTTATTCCACCTGGACATGAGGATTAACCTCTTGAGTGTAAGAAGAGCTGTTCAACAGTGGAACTCTCTGCCTCAGAGTCTGGAGGAAGCTCCTTCCTTGTTGGCTTTTAAACAGAGGCTGGATGGCTATCTGTCGGGGGTGTTTTGATTATGCTTTTCATCCCATCAGAAGGGGGTTGGACTAGATGGCCCGTGTGGTCTCTTCCAACTCTTATTCTGTGGTTTAAACCTCAAGCTCTGTGCCAAGTTTGCTTTCCCTTTTGCCGTCCCCAAGATGCTCCAGAGGGAGAGGAAAGCAGCAGCGAAGATGGTGAGAAGGGAGAGTCCCAGGAGAAACGGGAGAGTGAGCAGGACCCCCCAGAAACACACCATCGGGAAGAGGACCACGTGGCGGGATCCTCGGAGGAAGATGATGCCGGGTCAGAGGAAGAGGGCGAAGGGGAGGAAGAGCCCGCCAAGGAGGCCTCGGAGGAGATCAATTTCCCAGACACCACCATCGACCTCTCTCACCTCCACACACAGAGGTAAGTGAGGCACACCAAGTCCCAGAGAGAGTCACGTCAGTGTTATAAGAAGGCAGGATCTGGCAGAAACACACTACCACATGGGGATCGTTGTTAGTATGTTCTGGCCCAACTTACCTGTCCGAACGCATCTCCTATGAACCAACTAGGGTGTTAAGATCGTCTGGGGAGGCCCTGCTCTCGGTCCCGCCTGGGTCACAAGTACGTTTGGCGGGGACAAGAGACAGGGCCTTCTCAGTGGTGGCCCCTCGACTGTGGAACACCCTTCCTATAGATATTAGATTGGCCCCCCTCCCTGTTGACATTTCGGAGGAAAGTGAAGACCTGGTTGTTTGAGCAGCCATTTGAATAGGCAGTGTAAGGAACATAGGAATATGGAACAATTGGATGATGAGACTGGATCTTGATTTTAACTATGAGACGCTAATGAGATATTTTATTGATTTATATTGACTATTATGCTACTGTTTTAATTGTTTTTATCTGTTTTATGATGTTTTTGAGCATTGAATTTTGCTATTGTTAATCGCTCTGGGTCGCCCCAGGGCTGAGAAGAGCAATAATAATAATAATAATAATAGTAATAGTAATAATAATCTTTATTTGTACCCCGCCACCATTTCCCCAATGGGGACTCGGAGCGGCTTCCACGGGGCCAGGCCCAAACAACAATTACCATAAGGAAAACCAAAACACAACCGAAAATGCAAACAATAAACAACATCATAATTACATAAAACATATGAATACATAACAATATAAAAATTACTATAGGAACAGACACAGAGACAATGGGTGGGCTACATTTAATTATTAAAAAATATAGTATTTTTATACAAATATAGTAAATAAATAAATATGTAATATGAGGAATTTTTATGTCTTGGACTCCTTGCCTCTCCTTGCCAGAGATTTTACTCCAAATGCTTTTGGGAGGAAAGGGAAGGTACTATACTTAGGCAGAAGAAGGAACATGCACAGATATAGGATGTGTGGGACCTGTGGTTTGAAATCCGTCCTTGTGAAATGGATCTAGGAGTGTTGGGAGACTACAAGCTGAGGATGAGTCTGTTGAAAACGGTGGGACTGATTGTCTCAGAGGCAAGCTTTAAAAATCAACCCAAACATATCAGAGTCCTTATCAGTCTTCAGCAGAGTTTTTACTCCATCGTTTGACCTTGTACTGCTCATTGTTCAAGAAAATACGTTGACTCAGTTTTATTCAAACTCACAGTGGAGGCTTTTAATCTTGACACATTGCTTTGTGTGCAGCTACATAAAGTGTTCCCTCACTACTTCGCGGTTCACTTTTCGCGGACTAAGGTACCGTGTATGTGGGGAGGCTAATTTAACTAATTGACGATGCCATAAACTTTGTGGTTCACTTTTCACAGACTTAGGTACCGTGTATGCGGGGAGGCTAATTTAACTGATTTACGATGCCATAAAAATCTCCAGCAAGCATGCAAAGAATGAGGAAGTACTTCATCGGTGTCACAAATGGGCGATGAAGCGACAGCTCCCCTGGTGGCCAGAATACCCTCATGAAAAAGCTGGAATGTTAAATAACCTCTGAGTGTCTGTCTATATGTCTGTCTAGGGAAGTAATGCTACCCCTCTATTCTGCCTTGGTTAGACCACACCTGGAATATTGTGTCCAATTCTGGGCACCACAATTGAAGAGAGATATTGACAAGCTGGAATGTGTCCAGAGGAGGGCGACTAAAATGATCAAGGGTCTGGAGAACAAGCCCTATGAGGAGCGGCTTAAGGAGCTGGGCATGTTTAGCCTGAAGAAGAGAAGGCTGAGAGGAGACATGATGTCCATGTAAATATGTGAGAGGAAGCCACAGGGAGGAGGAGGGAGCAAGCTTGTTTTCTGCTTCCCTGGAGACTAGGACGCAATGGAACAATGGCTTCAAACTACAAGAGAGGAGATTCCACCTGAACCTGAGGAAGAACTTCCTGACTGTGAGAGCCGTTCAGCAGTGGAACTCTCTGCCCCGGAGTGTGGTGGAGGCTCCTTCTTTGGAAGCTTTTAAACAGAGGCTGGATGGCCATCTGTCAGGGGTGATTTGAATGCAATATTCCTGCTTCTTGGCAGTGGGGTTGGACTGGATGGCCCATGAGGTCTCTTCCAACTCTTTGATTCTATGATTCTGTGCACAGGGTAAATTCTGAACGGTGATGGGTTTCTTCAGTCCAGGATCTTGATGTTTCTTTTCTTTGCACAGATCCCGGCTGCAGTCCGCTTCCAAAGAGGACGCGTCGAGCCTGGTAAGCTCTTCCCTGAGATCCCCAGAAGGAAGCAATGCGGTACCAGCCTGGTTTCACCTTCTCTTCTTTTTTGCTTTTGCAGAACGAAAACAAGACCCAGGCAGGCCGCAAGCACCTCTCAGCCAAGCAGAGGAGGTGTGTATTTATATTGGGCTCCAATGTGTCTTAGGCATGGGCCAACTTGGGCCCTCCTTCCAGGTGTTTTGGACTTCAACTCCCACAATTCCTAACAGCCTACCTTAGGAATTGTGGGAGTTGAAGTCCAAAACACCTGGAAGGAGGGCCCAAGTTGGCCCATGCCTGGGTTAAACCAACTTGGAGTTTGTGTGTGTTTATGTGTCTCTCCATCACCCTGGAAGCAAGCCAGATCCTGGAATTGTGTGCTTTTCCTCAGAGAAAGGAAGAAGAAGAAGCAGCCGAGCGATGCAGTGGAGCCAGAGACGCCGAAGGAGAAGGACGAAGAGGACGAGACCCCGCTCCCTCTGCCTCTGTCCTCCAGCGACACCAGGAATGGGGGCAACCAGCCACCTGTGAAGAGGGGGCAGAAGGTGGGCACAGCTGGGAGAGGAAGCAAGAGGTCCATAGGAAACATCCCTAGTCTGGTTTAGCTCAAGTTTCCAGGGGGTTTGGTGCATCTTTTCCATTCTTAGTCTCATTAAAGGAATGTACAATCAAAGCCCTCCAGACAGATGGCCATCCAGACTCTGTTTAAAAACTTGTGGAGAACGAGACTCCGCCAGATCCACAGGTAGCATCAGATCCCACTGTCCATAGCTATATATATATATATGATGATGATTTTCAGTTTGAGTTTTCCAGGCTGTCTGGCCCTGTTCCAGAAGCATTCTCTCCTGACATTTCATCCACATCTATGACAGGCATCCTCAGAGGTTGTGAAGTCTTTTGGAAAGTCTTTTGAATGCAATTTCCCTGCTTCTTGGCAGAATGGGGTTGGACTGGATGGCCCACGAGGTCTCTTCCAACTCTAGGATTCTATGATATATACATAAACCCCACTTTCCAAAAGACTTCACAACCTCCGAGGATGCCTGTCATAGATGTAGATGAAATGTCAGGAGAGAATGCTTCTGGAACAGGGCCAGACAGCCTGGAAAACTCACAGCAACCCAAACTGAAAATTGTCATTCTATATATCATAGAATCCTAGAGTTGGAAGAGACCTCATGGGCCATCCAGTCCAACCCCATTCTGCCAAGAAGCAGGAAAATTGCATTTGAAGCACCCCCCGCAGATGGCCATCCAGCCTCTGTTTAAAAGCCTCCAAAGAAGGAGCCTCTACCACACTCCGGGGCAGAGAGTTCCACTGCTGAACGACTAGATGGCCTCTGGGGGTCCCTTCCAGTGTCGTAGCCATTTTTTCTACTTCTTTAGCAGGGGTACACAAACTTTTTAAACAGAGGGCCAGGTGACAGTCCCTCAAACTGTTGGAGGACCGGATTAAAATTTGAAAAAAAAGTGAATGAATTCCTATGCAAACTGCACGCATCTTATTTGTACTGATAAATAACACTTAAATGCAATACAATAATTAAAATGAACAATTTTAACAAATAAAAACTTATTAGTATTTCAGTGGGAAGTGTGGGCCTGCTTTTGGCTGAAGAGATAGGATTGTTGTTGTTGTTGTGTGCTTTCAAGTCATTTCAGACTTAGGTTGACCCTGAGCGAGGGCTAGGTAAATGACCTTGGAAGGCTGTATCTGACCTTAGTTTGAGGACCCCTGTTCTAGAGGCATTCTCTCCTGACGTTTCGCCTGCATCTATGGCAAGCATCCTCAGAGGTTGTGAGGTCTGTTGGAACTACAGAGTCCCCCTCTGGGGTGAGAAGGGCGGGGTAGAAGCAACCAAAATAAAATAAATAAAAACTAGGAAAGTGGGTTTATATATCTGTGGAATGTCCAGGGTGGGACAAAGAACTCTTGTCTGTTGGAGCTAGGTGTGAATGTTTCAACTGACCACCTTAATTAGCATTTGTTGGCCTGGCAGTGCCTGGGGGAATCTTTTGTTGAGAGGTGATTAGATGTGCCTGATTGTTTCCCCTCTGTTTTTTTGCTGTTGTAATTTTAGAGTTTTTCAATACTGGTAGCCAGATTTTGTTCATTTTCATGGTTTCCACCTTTCTGTTGAAATTGTCCACATGCTTCTTGTGGATTTCAATGGCTTCTCTGTGTAGCCTGACATGGTGGTTGTGAGAGTGGTCCAGCATTTCTGTGTTCTCAAATCATATGCCAAAGTTAGTTTGTTGATTTCAGCCATTTCAAAAACTTGTATGATCAATCCAAAGCATCTCAAAAATGGTCAGAAGCAGCCCTTTCTCCAACCCATTTCTTCCGTTGGTCCAACACGGCCATTCATCCTCAACCGGTGGAGGCGAGGAGTTCACCTTCCTTCCCCGTCCTCTCTTTCCCGCAGAGCAAGCTGAAGAAAATCAAGGAGAAGTACAAGGACCAGGATGAGGAGGACCGCGAGCTCATCATGAAGCTGCTGGGAGTAAGGCTCTTTTCCCCTTGAACCAGGCCTCATCCAACTTTGGAAGCCAAGCTGGGTTGGGACTGGATGGGAGCCCATCAGCAGGGGACTTGAGGGTCTCCAAGTAAGGCTTGAAAGCCCAGCAAAGGGCCACGGCAACATTGCGCAAGACAAACCTGGCCTCTTGACTCCTTAGAAGCCAGTTTCCTGCATTCCTTGCTTCTGGTTGGGTGGGATCCCAGGAAACTCTGAAAGTCTCCAAAATCCTCCTTGGAGCCATTCTGCTGGTCAATTGAAGGATGACCCAGACTCTTCTGATTTCTTCTGCCTCCAGTCCGCAGGGTCAAACAAGGAGGAGAAACCCAAGAGAGCCAAAAAGGGGAAGGGGAACCAAGAGCCCGCAAAGAAGCAGCCCCAGAAGCCCCGAGGGGGAAAGAGGCCTGAGCAGGGGGTCAGGATAGAAGAGTTGACCCCAGAGATGGAGGCCGTTGCCTTGGAAGACCCTCCAGATGAGAAGGTAAGACGCCAGACAGAGAGGGGGAGTGTCTAGGCCAGACCTGGGCCAACTTGGGCCCTCCAGGTGTTTTGGACTCCAACTCCCACCATTCCTAACAGCCGGTAGGCTGTTAGGAATGGTGGGAGTTGGAGTCCAAAACACCTGGAGGGCCCAAGTTGGCCCAGGCCTGGTCTAGTCTGCATCAATAGAGTCTAGTGTTTCCTTCCAGCTCTCAGGTTGTCAAAGCTGAGCTGAAGGGAGTCTCACAAGCCTGACCTTTCTTTTTCTTTCCTTCTGCTGATGATTCTGTCATAAATTAACTAGGTAATTTTAATTAAAAAAATGTGAGTCAAGCACTGAAAGGGTTAAATGAATGCAGTCACTCAGCAAACGCAGCGGTTCTATATGAGCAGGTGTGCCTCTAGCTTAGTAGCCTTTAATCTGTGAGAGAAGGCCTCACAGTGTGAGGTAGGTCTTTGTGAGATAAAGCCTCACAGTGTGAGTAGGTCTTTGTGAGAGGCCTCACAGTATGAGGTAGGCCTTTGTGAGAGAAGGCCTCACAGTGTGAGGTAGGCCTCAGTCTTTGAGAGAATGCCTCACAGTGTGAGGTAGGCCTTAGTCTGTGAGAGAAGGTCTCACAGTGTGAGGTATTTATTTATTTTATTTTATTTACTGCATTTTATATTTATGTACTGCATTTTTAGTCTGTGAGAGAAGGCCTTACAATGTGAGGTAGGCCTTTATGAGAGAAGTCCTCACAGTGTGAAGTAGGCCTTTGTGAGAGAAGGCCTCACAGTGTGAGGTAGGCCTCAGTCTGTGAGAGAAGGCATCACAGTGTGAGGTAGGCCTCAGTCTATGAGAGAAGGCCTCACAGTGTGAGGCAGGCCTCAGTCTATGAGAGAAGGCCTCATAGTGTGAAGTAGGCCTCAGTCTATGAGAGAAGGCCTCATAGTGTGAGGTAGGCCTCAGTCTATGAGAGAAGGCCTCACAGTGTGAGGTAGGCCTTGTAAGAGAAGACCTCACAGTGTGAGGTAGGCCTGAGTCTGTGAGAGAAGGGCTCACAGTGTGAGGCAGGCCTCAGTCTATGAGAGAAGGCCTCACAGTGTGAGGTAGGCCTCAGTCTGTGAGAGAAGGCCTCATAGTGTGAGGTAGGCCTGAGTCTGTGAGAGAAGGGCTCACAGTGTGAGGCAGGCCTCAGTCTATGAGAGAAGGCCTCACAGTGTGAGGTAGGCCTCAGTCTATGAGAGAAGGCCTCATAGTGTGAAGTAGGCCTCAGTCTATGAGAGAAGGCCTCATAGTGTGAGGTAGGCCTCAGTCTATGAGAGAAGGCCTCACAGTGTGAGGTAGGCCTCAGTCTGTGAGAGAAGGCCTCACATTGTGAGGTAAGCCTTAGTCTGTGAGAGAAGGCCTCACATTGTGAGGTAAGCCTTAGTCTGTGAGAGAAGGACTCACAGTGTGAGGTAGGCCTTAGTCTGTGAGAGAAGGCCTCACAGTGTGAGGTAGGCCTTGTAAGAGAAGGCCTCACAGTGTGAGGTAGGCCTGAGTCTGTGAGAGAAGGGCTCACAGTGTGAGGCAGGCCTCAGTCTATGAGAGAAGGCCTCACAGTGTGAGGTAGGCCTCAGTCTGTGAGAGAAGGCCTTACAGTGTGAGGTAGGCCTCAGTCTGTGAGAGAAGGCCTCACAGTGTGAGGTAGGCCTCAGTCTGAGAGAAGGCATCACAGTGTGAGGTAGGCCTCAGTCTATGAGAGAAGGCCTCACAGTGTGAGGCAGGCCTCAGTCTATGAGAGAAGGCCTCATAGTGTGAAGTAGGCCTCAGTCTATGAGAGAAGGCCTCATAGTGTGAGGCAGGCCTCAGTCTATGAGAGAAGGCCTCACAGTGTGAGGTAGGCCTCAGTCTGTGAGAGAAGGCCTTACAGTGTGAGGTAGGCCTCAGTCTGTGAGAGAAGGCCTCACAGTGTGAGGTAGGCCTTAATCTGTGAGAGAAGGCCTCACAGTGTGAGGTAGGCCTCAGTCTGTGAGAGAAGGCCTCACAGTGTGAGGTAGGCCTTAGTCTGTGAGAGAAGGCCTCACAGTGTGAGGTAGGCCTCAGCCTGTGAGAGAAGGCCTCAGTGTGAGGTAGGCCTTTGTGAAAGAAGGCCTCATAGTGTGAGGTTGACCTCAGTCTGTGAGAGAAGGTCTCAGTGTGAGGTAGGCCTTAGTCTGTGAGAGGCCTCACAGTGTGAGGTAGGCCTTGTAAGAGAAGGTCTCACAGTGTGAGGTAGGCCTCAGTCTGTGAGAGAAGGCCTCAGTGTGAGGTAGGCCTTTGTGAGAGAAGGCCTCATAGGTCTTGTAAGAGGTCTCACAGTGTGAGTTAGGCCTTAGTCTGTGAGAGAAGCCTCTGTGTAAGGTAGGTCTTAGTTTGTGAGAAGGCCTCAGAGTATGAGAAGGCCTGGTGTGAGAAGCTTTGGTGAGAAGAAGCTCCAGGTTGAAGGCCTCGTGTGTAAACCTACTATGTGAAGCTCCAGTGCAATGGCTGTTTTGTGTAAAGCTACTTTGTGAAGCTCTTGTGTAACTTCAGTGTGAGAGGAGGCTCTGTGGGAGTGAAGCTGTTTCTCTGCTTGAGAAAGAAGCCCAGCGTGGAAGCAAAGAAGGAAGTATAAAGAACTTTGTGTGTGTCATGGAAACCTTGTTCTTGTAAATAGTGCAACCATATTATTTTACTACAAAGAAAAACCTCCCAAGGAAGAGATAACACTGCTCTGTGTGTTTTTGTTCTTTTTATCACTTTGGATTACTGGTGCTGGGTCACGCTGCTGCTAATAAGTTCCTCTGCTGTGTATTTATGGGGAGGGTCTTCCATTAAGAAGCCCACTCGCCCAACAGCTTCACCATTTCCTTTTCCTTTTTACAGGAGGAGCTGGACCAGGATCAGCACACAAATGAGGTAAGTCAACTTTGTGGAGGCTTCTTTGGGGAATATAGACTTGAGACTCGCTGGATCCTTGGGGGATGAGTATTTTTGTCTCCCTGAGTGATTTGCCTCGCAATTGATCATTGTTTGTACTTTGCTTATTCCATGTACAGTGTTCCCCTGCTACTTTGCGGTTCGCTATTAGCAGACTTGCTGTTTCGCGGTTTTTCAATAAATATTAGCAGTGGAAAGGACTTAAAAACACAAAAAGCTAAATGACAATACAGTGCATCTGGAAACAACGACTCTCCCCTGCACAAGGGAAAAGAAAACAAACATCCACCCCAGCTCTCCTTGGCCCATTCCTGTGCTATTGTCATACCGGGAGTTTGTGGCCCTCGATGATGGCAGCAGTTGGGAGGAGTGACAAGGAGTGACAAGGAGACCCGAGGGCAATGTGAGGGTCCTGACTGTGGAGCCTTCCCTCTGCATAGAGCAGGGACACACCTCTCCTTCAAGCACTGCCTTCGAGCCCAACCCTTTTCTGTCCTATGTCTAGAAGAAAGGAATAAAGGAGGGAAAGGGGAAGGAAGGAAGGAGAGAGGGAGGGAGGGAAAGAAGGAAGGAAAGAAGGAAGGAGGGAAGGAAAGAGAGAAGAAAGGAAGCAGAGAAGGAAGGAAGGAAGGAAGGAAGCAGGGAAGGAAGGAAGGAGAGAAGAAAGGAAGCAGAGAAGGAAGGAAGGAAAGAAGGAAGAAGAGAAGGAAGGAGGGAAGGAAGGAAGGAAAGAAAGAAGGAAGGAGGGAAGGGAGGGAAAGAAGGAAGGAGGGAGGGAAAGAGAGAAGAAAGGAAGCAGAGAAGGAAGGAAGGAGAGAAGGAGGGAGGGAAAAAGGGAAAGAAGGAAGGAGGGATGGAAAGAGAGAAGAAAGGAAGGAAAGAAGGAAGGACGGAAAGATAGAGAAGGAAGGAGAGAAGGAAAGAAAAAAGAGAAGGAGGGAAAGAAAGAGAGGAAAGAAGGAGAGAAAGAGAGAAGGATGGAAGGAAAGAGAGAAGCAAGGATGGAACCAAAGAGCAATGGAAGGAAAGAAAGAGGTGGAAAAGGAAGAAAGGAGAGAAAGAGGGAGGGAAAGAAAAAGGGGGGAGGAAGGAAAGAGAGAGGAAAGAAAGGAGAGAAAGAAAGGAGAGAAAGAGGGAGGGAAGGTTGGCCACAGCAACGCATGGTGGGTACAGTTTGTGTTAAAATAAATATAACGTCCCTACTTTGCGGATTTTCCTGGAACGTAGCATCTGCGATAAGTGAGGGAACCCTGTAAACATTAGTTAGTCCCTGTGCAATGTTGTGTTTCACAAACTGGCATTCTTTGACTTGTAGAAGTCACCGAGATGGACGAGATTGATAAGTCCAGGCTCCTCTTGATGCCCTTTTGCTCTTCCCTGCAGGAAGGAGACACCTTCTTTGACTCCCTGACGGGCCAGCCCCACCAGGAAGACCTGCTCCTCTTTGCCGTGCCCATCTGCGCCCCATACACCGCCATGACCCACTACAAGTGAGTAAAGGGGCCCGAGCTCTTTGGCGGTGTGCCTGCAATGTGTGCCTTCCTCCCATTCAAGCCCCTCTGCTTCTCCTCCTTCTTTTGTCTTAAAGATACAAAGTGAAGCTGACGCCGGGGACCCAGAAGAAGGGGAAAGGTAGGCACTGCGCTCTCTGGCTGCCCTTTCTCATTCTCTTTGCCAGTCTCTTTTCCTGGGAGAGGAGTGAGTGATTCCATGGAGTCCAGATATAGGACTTGCAGGGAGAGCATTGGGGGGCTCTGGCTCTGCTTTCAAGTCCCATAGAAACAGAGCTGAAGGGACAGAAAGGATATATAGTCCAACCCCATCCTGCACAGCCAAGGCATTCCTGAAAGATGCCCTTCTTCCAACCTGTGTTTACAGTTTTCCAAAGATGGAGATGGATAAACAAACCACTCCACTCCCTTAATATTTAATATTTTCAGGGAAGGAGCCCAACAGGGAGGAACCATGGGATTTAGCCATTTTAGGCAGGGGGAGGGGGAGGGGGAGATGCTTTATTCTGAGGGCAGTTGTAGACTAAGACAATCAGATGGGTTGAGTGGTCATTCTCCAAAAGCACAACGGAAGGTCTTTCTTAAAACCAGCTAGGGCGGGGGCTTGCCTGATCTTAGGCAGCAAATTCCAAAAGTGGGGAGCCACAGCGGAAAAGGCCCTCTCCCTTGTTCCCATAAGATGAGTCTGTGATAGAGGAAGGGGCGAGAGAAGGGCCTCTTCAGTGGATCGAAGAGATCGTGCAAGTTTGTGGTAGGAGATGCGGCCCTACTGTTGCCGCTGCTCTCTCAGGGGATAAAGACTTACCCGTAATGATGGCTGAAGAACCGGTGCCATTGGCACGTAAAAAAAAAGTCGAAAAAGTCTAGGCCCCAGGACCACCCAGGCGGTGGGGACGCCGTTTCAGAACTGCTTGAGAAAGCGGGAACTGCTTGAGAAAGCGGCAGCCCCTCCGTCGGGGCAAGCACTCTCCAAAACCAAATATGCCAGATGTGCAGCCCATGCTTGTGGCCAAGCTTCAGCCACCGCAAGAGATCTGGGCTGGCCCTCAGGAGTCACTGGCTGCTCCGCCGACTCTGTCTCTTCCCGCACTGTCCCCCCCAAGCTCCTCCATGCCGGAGGCACATGAGGAGTCATCTGAGGGCTGAGTGTCATACAGAGAGCATACCACCTCTCTGTTATGTCAGCTCCACTGGCTGCCGATCCAGTTCCGACCACAATTCAAAGTGCTGGTTTTGACCTACAAAACCCTATACACCTCCGGCCCAGCGTATCTGTCCGAACGTATCTCCCTCTACGTCCCACCTCGGAGTCTTAGATCTTCTGGGGAGGCCCTGCTCTCGACCCCGCCTTTATCACAAGTGAGATTGGTGGGGACGAGGAGCAGGGCCTTCTCGGTGGTGGCCCCTCGCCTGTGGAATTCACTCCCCGGGGAAATTAGGTCATCGACATCTCTCCTTTCTTTTAGAAGGAAATTAAAAACGTGGATATGGGACCAGGCTTTTGGGTAATCTGGCAGATAGACAAAGGATAATGACGACCAGAATTAATAGGATTGACAATGTGGAATGAATTTACGGACTTGGAGTTGACAAACATTGAGCATAAGATTGGCTTTACTGATTGTGTTGTATAATTGATTGTTTTAATTGTTTATAATTGCTGTTATATATGTTTTTATCTTATCGTCTGTGTTGGCATTGAATTGTGCCTTTCGTAAGTCGCCCTGAGTCCCCCCTTGGGGGTTGAGAAGGGCGGGGTAGAAATGCGCGAAATAAATAAATAAATAAATACTTCCAGCTGCCGGCGGGATCAAGGGCTTCCTCACGCCATCGACGCACTCACCCTCCCTTGTGCAGTTGGTGCCAAGCTCCCCGGCATCACCGCCGTTCAGATGTCCTTCCAGCCTCTGCTTAAAAATCCCAGAGATGGAGACTCCTCCACGCTCCAAGGAAGCAGGCAATCCCATTGTTAAACTGCTCTTTCCTTCAGGAAGTTCTAAGGTTTAGGTGTTTCCCCCCCTGCAATTTGACTGAAATGAGCACATTCATCTATATTGATTAGTAATAGCTCTAGGTTCCCAGAAGGACTTTCAAAGACTCCTCCTTCGCTGTGCAATGGATGGGCTGTGTTTCGCAAAGAAGACCAACAAGCTGTTGGCCAGTAGTTTGTTTATTTATTTACTTACTGCATTTGTATACTGCCTTTCTCAGCCAGAGGCGACTCAAGGCTCTACTCAAATAGTTGCTATTTGTTACTAATTGTGTACCTTTCCGCCTTTGCTGCTCATGCCTTTTGCCTTTCTGACAGCTGCCAAGACCGCCTTGCACAATTTCATGCAGTCCAAGGAAGCAACGCCTCGGGAAAAGGATCTCTTTCGCAGCGTGAAGGTGAGGGGCTTCCTTCCCTGCGTCTCAAAGCGGGTCCCATTCTCTTCCAGGCTGACCTTGGGAATGTCAAAATACACGGGCTCCCAAATTGGAAATTACGAGCACGGAGGGTGCATCCGCACTGTAGAATTGATGCAATTTGACACCGCTTCCAGATGGAGCATATGAACCTCAGGCTTGAGCTCTGTCAGAATAGGAAAATAGGACCTTTGCCAATTGCATGGGTTTATATTTAAGTGTTTGGAAGCTCTTGCGGGTTCAGAACGAAGCCTGCTAAACCAGGCATGGGCAAACTTCAGCCCTCCCATTTAGATGTTTTGGACTTCAACTCCCACCATTCCTAACAGCCTCAGGCCCCTTCCTTTTCCCCCTCAGCCGCTTAAGCGGCTGAGGGGGAAAAGGAAGGGGACTGAGGCTGTTAGGAATGGTGGGAGTTGAAGTCCAAAACACCTAAAGGGAGGGCTGAAGTTTTTTTCCAACTCTCAATGGAGACTAGGTTTTGGAAACGTATCTCACTGGGACAACACTGGGTATGTTTCTGGTCCCATTTTTTTTGTTGTCATTTATTTTTTAAAGGCTATTAAGTCAAGCATTGGGGGTCCTGACTCTTTGAAATAAAGTTTCTGGCAGAGCTGCGTCTCACTCTCTGCATATGACTAATAATGATACATGATGCGTGTCTGTGATTCTTTCCCGCAGGATACAGACCTCTCCCGAAACATCCCGGGCAAAGTGAAAGTGTCAGCCCCCAACCTCCTGAATATGAAGAAGAAGTGAGGGCGGTATCGCCACCCTCCAGCTTTGGAGCGACTGGAATGGACTCCTTTTGCGGAACGACTTCCTGGTTTGCACATAATAAAGCCCTCTGCCCTTCAAATGGCAGCCCGTGATCCTCGTTCCTGAATCCGCAGCAGGAGAGCTAGAGGGGCCTCCTCTCCACAGAGCTCTGGTTCCTTCTTCCTTGAGAGCAGACCTACCTTCGAAAGGGGATTAGGCCCTAGTTTGGGGGCAGGCGGAAGCCAGACCAAGGTGTATTTGGAGAGATATGCCAGGGAGTCACAAGAGACTGGCACGGATTTCCCATTCCTGCTACAGTCAGCCCTCCATTAATCGCAAAAGCCAGCAGAGTGACCTTGTTTGTTGTGTACTAATCTTGTTGTGTATCAAATAATAAGAATAGCATGGTTTTGTTTGGGGATCTCTAGGTTCTCAAGTGTGACTCTCTGTTCTCAAAGTCTGGCAGAAGGACTTAGAAAGGCCAAGAGAGAAGTGTCCTCTCAGGTTAAAAATACAGATAGAAATGAAATGTTCACACTTTTAAGACATCTTGCACCCCTAAACAATGAAACGGAGGGCTGACTGTAGCGTAAAAGTTGGTTGAGACTATCACAGGCATGGGACAGCTTTGGCCCTCCCTTGGGTGTTTTGGACTCCAACTCCCACCATTCCCAACAGCCTCAGGCCCTTTCCTTTTCCCCCTCAGCCGCTTAAGCGGCTGAGGGGGAAAAGGAAGGGGCCTGAGGCTGTTGGGAATGGTGGGGGTTGGAGTCCAAAACACCCGGAGAGAGAGGCAAAGTTGGCCCATGCCCAACTTATAGACTTGCATATATCCAAGAGTTTTCACTTTCTGAAACATTCCAGCTTTGCATTAAATACCTTTATTGCAAACGAATCTGTACACAAAAATAGGTTCTCTGTCTGTCTAAGCCATTCACATGCAACGAAAGAAAGGAGGCCGAAGCAGAAAAGCCACTACGTACGCTGCGAAATAGTTAAGCCTATACACTTTGTCACACAGAGATGGCGGGAGGGTTCCACCTCTTTTCCGAAGGGCTCATCCACGCATGAAAGTGGCCAGTGAAGGGACCGGGGGTGGGTGGGGGGGGGGTGGCAGCGCCTGCTTCGCCGCCGCCGTCTTGGTCGCCATCCTCGTCTTCCTCGTCCTAGGAGCCGGAGGTGTTGATGCTGCCGAAGCGCTGGTTGAGGCTCTGGAGCAAGTGTTTGGGCAGGCAGTGCCAGGAGCTGGCCAGGGCCTCCTTGAAGCACAGGATGGCCTCCAGGCACAGTCTGGGAAACAGGAAGGGAGAGGAAGAAGAACAAGAGGAGGAGGGAGGGAGAAGAAGAGGAAGGGAGAAGAGGAGGAGGAAGAGGAAGAAAAATAACAAAAAGGAAGAACAAGAAGAGGAGGAGGAGGAGGAAAAAGAACAGGAGGAGGTGAAAGAGAGAAGAGGAGGAGGAGAAGGAAGAAGAGGAATAAGAAGAATAACAAGAAGGGGAAGAAGAGAAAGAAGTAGAGGAAGAAAGAAGAGGGGGAAGAAAAAGAAAAAGGAAAAAAGGAAAAAGAATGAGGGAAGGGAAGAATAGGAAAGAAAGGAAGAGAAAGGAAGGTAAGATGGAACGGACAAAGGAAAGAAGAGAGAAAAAGGAAGAGGAATGAGGAAGAAGAAGAGGAGGAGGAAGAACAATAAAAGGAGGAGTAAGGAAAAAGAGGAAAAAACAAGAAGAGAACAAAGAAGAATAAGAGGAGGAGGAAGGAAGAAGAAGGGGAAAAAGAAGGAAGAAGAAGAAGAAGGAAGAAGAGGAAAAAGAAGAAGAGAACAAAAAAGAACGAGGAGGAGGAGGGAAAAAGAGAAGGAAAATGAACAAGAAGAGAACAAAGAAGAACAAGAGGAGGAGGAGGAAGGAAGGCAGAAGAGGAAAAAGAACAAGAAAAGGAGGAAGAAGGAAGATGAGGAAAAGGAACAAAAAGGAGGAAGAAGAACAAGAAAAGAAGAAGAGGAAGAAGAACAAGAAAAGGAGGAGGAAGGAAAAAGAGGAGGAAAAAGAAGAACAAGAAGAGAACAAAAGAACAAGTGGAGGAGGAGAAGGAAGAAGAGGAGGAAAAGAACAATAAAAGGAGGAAGAAGGAAGGAAAAAGGAAAAAGAAGAACAAGAAGAGACCAAAGAAGAACAAGAAGAGGAGGAAGGAAGAAGAACAATAAAAGGAGGAGGAGGAAGGAAAAAGGAAAAAGAACAAGAAAAGGAGGAAGAGGAAGAAGAACAAGAAAAGGAGGAAAGAGGAGGAGGAAAAAGGAAAGAAGAGAAAGAAGAACAGGAGGAGGAAGGAAGAAGAGAAAGAAGAACAAAAAGAGGAGGAAGAAGGAAGAAGATTATTGAGGGGAAGGGGGCAAAACCCAGTTCCCAGCAGCCTATTCCTCCCAGGCAATAGAGTCTCCAACTTCCAGCCACAGATGCTTCTGAGATCTCTCCATCTACTGATAAGCCCCTAACATTGTTCCCTGCCTATGTAAAGAGCGATGGAAATCCTAGAGTCCTGAAACTGTGCTGGACTGCAACTCCCATCTGCTGCAGCCAGCACAGCCAATGGCAAGGGATGTTGGGAGCTGAGGTCTGTGAGATCCCCTGCCGCCTTTGAGCTGTGGAACATGGTGCAAGCCTTCCCCTCCATTTGGACAAAACGAGGCATGGCCTATGGGGTGAATTTCAGGTGCCGGTGGCAGATTCATTCCCAACGTTTTTGAGGCTGCAGGGCCGTGTTTTGCAAAGCAGTCCTCCCCCCAAGTCCAAAATCACCCCGAAGGAAGGCTTATCCCTAAAGTTATTCTCTGGATGTTTGGGAATGCAACTCCCTCCATCCCTGACCACAGACCCCAAAAGTGTCCAAAACCGTACCTTACAAGAGATTTTGGTTGAAGAGAAAACACAAGGATCTCATTACTATGCTCCTGGGGGGGAAAAGAGACAACAATTAATATTGAATCTCACAACTGGGGAAAAACATGTTTGATTTTCAGGCCTAGACTGGGTCTGGGCCAACTTGGGCCCTCCAAGTGTTTTGGACTCCAACTCCCACAATTCCTAACAGCCTACCGGCTGTTAGGAATTGTGGGAGTTGAAGTCCAAAACACCGGGAGGGCCCAAGTTGGCCCAGGCCTGCTTTGGAGTCACATTTAGTGAAGGAGAAAGGCTTACCGCTCTCTGATGCGCAAGGAGGTTGTTGGCACAGCCGCCAAAGACGATCACCTCGCCCTCGTCGCTTGCGCAAGCCGTGTGCCAGAGCCTGGGAGCGGGAGACACAACACAACGCAGTGAGAGGCTATCGCCCGAAAGAAACGCAAGGCATCATGAAGGGAAAGCAAGTCCGTGCATGAGAAACACAGATCTTTGTATTGTCAAAGGCTTCCATGGCCGGAATCACTGGGTTGTTGTTGGTTTTTTGGGCTATATGCCCATGTTCCAGAAGCATTCTCTCCTGACATTTCGCCTGCATTTATGGCAGGCATCCTCAGAGGTTGTGAGGTCTGTAGACTTTGTGAGGAAAGATGTAAATGCTAATCAAGGTGGCCAGTTGAAACATTCACCCCTAGCTCCAACAGACAAAGAGTTCTTTGTCCCACCCTGGACTTTCCAGAGATATATAAACCCAATTTTCCTCGTTCCAACAGACCTCACAACCTCTGAGGATGCTTGCCATAGATGCAGGCGAAACATTAGGAGAGAATGCACCGGGATTGTGGCGCAGCTGGCTGAGTGTCAGCTGCATTAAGATCACTCTGACCAAAAGGTCATGAGTTTGAAGCCAGCCTGGGTTGGAGTGGGTTTCCAACCAATTGTGTGTAGCCTGTTGTCGACCTTTGCAACCCGAAAGACAGTTGCATCTGTCAAGTAGGAAAATTAGGTACCACCTTAAAGTGTGGGGAGGCTAAATTAACTAATTTACGAGGCCATAAAGAAGACTCCAACAAAAGCATTCCAGCCGGGAAGCATGCGGGAATGCGGAAGTGCTTCATCAGCATCGCAGATGGACGATGAAAGCAACAGCTCCCCTGGCGGCCAGAAAAAGTTAAATAGCCTCTGTGTATGTCTGTATATGTTTGTATGTCAAAATTGGCATTGAATGTTTGCCATAAATGTGTACACTGTAATCCACCCTGAGTCCCCTGCGGGGTGAGAAGGGCGGAATAGAAAAGCTGTAGTAGTAGTAGTAGTAGTAGTAATAATAATAATAATAATAATAATAATAATAATAATAATAATAATAATAATGCTTCTAAAACATGGCCATATAGCCCGAAAAACCTACAACAACCCAGTGATTCCAGCCATGAAAGCCTTCAACAATACACTTGCAAATCAAGCTTGCTAACTGCACCATTAATACTAGTTTAATAGACACTGGTTCTTTCTACCACCCTGGACATCCCACAGGTACGATATGTACTCCACTTGCTTGACTACCATCAGATCCTGTGAAGATGCCAGCCACAGATGCAGGCCAAATGTCAGGAGAAAATGATGCTAGAACACAGCCATGCAGCCCACAAACTACACAACACCCCAAAGTGATTGTTTGTCATTTGTATTGTCGAAGGCCTCTAGGACATGGCCATATAGCCCGAAAAAACCTACAACAACCCAGTGTTTGACGTTTGTTTTCCTTCCGGCTCAGGTTCAGGGCTCCATGTCCCACCCGAGAGGATCCATTGGGGCTGATGCTTCAGTCCTTCCCAACAGAGCTGCTAACCCAGCGACATGGTTCGCCTCCCATCCACCCCAAAACCGAAGGTCACTAGGTTCAAGGAGCCATTGTAGAGCAGCATCTTTGCACATCATGTTCCTTACCGGGGTTTCTCTGAGTAGTTGTGCTCGAACTGTATCCATTCGTTTTTACTGATGCAGTAGATCCAGGCATCGCCTGCAAGGCGCAGAACAGAAGAGGTCAGCGCATCCCCCAAAAGCACCTTGAAAGCGTTCCCCCAAAATGGACAGTTGTGTCCTGACCCAGGCGTCACATCAAAGATCTTCACAATTTTTATTATTATTACTAGCTGTTCCCAGCCATGCGTTGCTGTGGTTTAATGGTAATGAAAGAAAAGAGAAAGAGCCGGGTTTGCGTTGCTGTGGCCCAGGGAAGGCTTTGATGGTGTCTTCCTTGAGGGCCAAAGGGGGTTGGACAGGATGGCCTTTGGGGCTCCATTCCAACTGCATGGCCATCTGTTGGGACAGTTTTGATGGTGTCTTCCCTTACTGCAAAATGATTTCGGACTGGATGGCCTCTGGGGCTCCTTCCTATACCCCAAACGGTTTCCCGTGCCTGTCCGGGCATGGTGTCAAAGGGCTTCTTTCCAGCAACCCCCCTCCTCCGGTTCAGGGCCCTCATTACCTTGTTGAGTTCTGCATCACCCAAGAGCTGCCATTTTGACTGCTGGTGAGGCTTCTTTCACAATGAGAGTGGGCCTGCGGCTTCAGTGCCTCTACGCTCCAAAACCCTCCTGACAGTTGGCTGTACAGTTGGAAGGGAGCCCCAAAAGCTATGTAGCCCAACCTCCTTTGGGTGCAAAGGAAGACACCATTTAAGCCCTCCCAACTCATGGCCATCCAGTTGGAAGGGAGCCCGTGTGTGTGTGTGTGGCTGTACACATGTGCTTAGCTACCGAAGCAAGTAAGGCTTGCCTTGCAATTCTCTGACCTTGGGGGGAGGGTTGCCTGGTGGCCACCTGGGCCTCAAGGAAGCACTACGGTGGCTCCAGCTGCAGCCAGGGCTTGCCTCGCCCAGCCTCCAGGCCCACCGTCGGCCAGGCCTTCTCCTTCCTTTCCTCTTTCCTTCCCTCAATCCCTCCTCTCCCCAAAAGAAAGAAGACCCTGCCTTCATGAACGGAAAGGGACTCCAGAGCTAGGCTTTTCTTCCCTCACAACGGTTGGTGCGTCATTCTTCTCGCGCGCTGGGGAGGGGGGCTTTTGCACATGCTCTGTGATGTATTTTTCTTTTGGGAGAGTAGTAACCTATTTCCCCTTCATTTTTAAAATTTTTGTTTAATTTGAAAGACATAGGTTGGATTAGAATGTGTTTTCCTGCCAAATTTGATGACAGTTCGTCCAGTAGTTTTGGAGTTCTGTTAATCCCACAAACGAACATTACATTTTTATTTATATAGATGATGATTATTATTTTATTTTATTATTTAAAACATTTAAATTCCGCCCTTCTCACCCTGAAGGGGACTCAGGGCGGAGCACAGCATATATACGGCAAACATTCAATGCCGGGACAAAAATATTTATCTCAGTATTAAAATACGCTATTTACAACAATCTTTTTAGCTGTAGCTTACAAAGTAAATACTAAACCATATAATCAGGCATGGGCAAACTTGGGCCTTTCCTACTGGTGTTTTGGACTTCAACTCCCACCATTCCTAACAGCCTCAGGCCCCTTCCTTTTGACCCTCAGCCGCTTAAGCGGCTGAGGGGCAAAAGGAAGGGGCCTGAGGCTGTTAGGAATGGTGGGAGTTGAAGTCCAAAACACCAGTAGGAAAGGCCCAAGTTTGCAGTCCACCCCCCTTCAGCCAATGCAGGAAGACACAACTAAAGCCACCCATTACCTGATTGTTTTGTGCAATCATCACAAGAAGGAACACATTTGCAGTTGGGGAAGAAAAGGCCGTTGCACAGGATGTGTTCTACTTACTGAGTGGCTGCTTGTCGGTGGTGAAGCCACCAAAGAGAAAGAGATGGTCGGACGACACGGGGGTCAAGGAATGCCAGGATCTGCCAAGAGGGCAAGCCCCCTGCGTGATGCTGCGTTGCGGGGAAAAGGAGGCAATGTTAACATGCATAGAAGCTGTGGTCAGTTCTTAAAGGCCTGACCTGTCTTAGGGAAGGTGCAATGAGAGCGCTCTCGACATTGTGGGAACTCTAGAGACAACGCACACCCAAACTAGATGGTTTGTTTTGCTGCTTTTTCGAAGGCAACATTGGCACTGAAATACAGCACTGTCTGAGCTTTGCAAGTGCAGCCTTTTTCCGAATGAAGCACAGAGTGTTTGAGGAACGGGACATCCGTAGGGATACTAAGGTGCTTGTTTACAAAGCTATTCCCCTCCCAACCCTGCTCTATACCTGCGAGACATGGACTATCTACAGACTTCACCTTGTTTACGAAGCTATTGTCCTCCCAACCCTGCTATATGCCTGCGAAACGTGGACTGTCTACAGACATCACATGCAAGTCCTAGAATGATTCCATCAGCATTGCCTCTGAAAAATCCTGATTACCTGATTTGCCCTCAGAGGACCTTCTGGTCTAATTATCAACTCAGAATTTGGCAGAAGGCTTGCTCTCCTTTTTGGGTGCTCTTTCCCAGCTTACGTAAGGGCAGAATGTCTCCATTCCCAACTTGCAGCTCTACAAAAGGCCAACTTACATTTCATGCCATTCCCAGTTGTCCAGATTGAGGTAATAGAGATCGTTCATTCTCGACTCCTGCAAAGAGAGGGAGGGAGGGAGGGAAGGAGGGAGGAGTGTCATGTAATGTCAGAAGAGAAAAAGCATCAACACTTCTATCGAGAACAGAGGGAACCTTGTTGGGCATTGTCTCCTATCTTTGTTTTCCACTTGTTTCCTAGATTTATGTAGCTCAAGGTGTTCTGCTACCTGCCTGCATGGAAAAGTCACTTCCCCCTTCCCCCCACCCTCAAAAGGTCTTCAGCGTACCTTTATGGTTAAGGGTATGTATAGCAAATGGTTTCTCCAGCATGGGGAGCTGGAGCTGACAGAGGGAGCTCACCCGTGCTCTCCCCGGATTCGAATCTCCGACCTGTCAGTCTTCTGTCCTGCTGGCACAAGGGTTAACCATTGCGCCACATAAATGGTCAAGGGTATGTATAGCAATTGGTTACTCCAGCATGGGGAGCTGGAGCTGACAGAAGGAGCTCACCCGTGCTCTCCCCGGATTTGAACCTCTGACCTGTCAGTCTTCAGTCCTGCCAGCACAAAGGTTTAACCCATTGCGTCACATAAATGGTCAAGGGTATGTATAGCAATTGGTTACTCCAGCAAGAGGAGTTGGAGCTGACAGAGGGAGCTCACCAGTTCTGTCCCTCGGAATCGAACCTCCGACCTGTTAGTCTTCAGTCCTGCCAGCACAAAGGTTTAACCCATTGCGCCACATAAATGGTCAAGGATGTGTATAGCAATTGGTTCCTCCAGCATGGGGAGCTGGAGCTGACAGAGGGAGCTCACCCGTGCTCTTCCCCAGATTCGAACCTCCGACCTGTCAGTCTTCAGTCCTGCTGGCACAAGGGTTTAAGCCATTGCGCCACATAAATGGTCATGGGTATGTATAGCAATTGGTTACTATCGTCATGTCTAATTTGGCACTGAATCCATATGCAACAACCAAAAAAACATCAGATATTTCAGCATGAAGGTTTCAAAGTAATATTCAGTCTGCTGGAATAACACAATATTCCAATTTGTGACTTGTCAGTCTCCAAAATAGATTTTGTCTTTTGTCTATCTACGCTTCTATATCCGCAAGTGCAACAATACAAATATGTTTGACCTGTTTTTAAACCTTTCCAGAGCATCACCCTGCGTATTTCCTCTCCTGTTTCCTACCATCAGCTCATGTATCTCACTGGCTACTCTGCTCTGCTAGAGATACCAACTCTTCCTACTCTGGGCGCAGCTTCCACTTGTCAGGACGACTCCTCACCCGGTATCTGCCTCCGAAGACGTATCCCCGGTTGCCGACAGTGGCGCAGGCGTGAGCGGCGCGCGGGGACGGCGATTTGCCCTGGAGAAAAAACCCAGAAAGAGCAGCTCAGACGGTTTCACAGGCACATTATTATTTTTAATTATTAAAAAATAGTAAAAGAAAGAAAAAAAAATCATGATATACATTTATTATTATTTATTTATTGACTGTATTTATACCCCGCCCTTCTCAACCCCGTAGGGGACTCGAGGCGGCTTACATACATAGGGAACAATTATATGCACAAAAACACACATAATAAAAACATAAACATTAAAACAATAATTAAAACATAATAAAAATTATTTAAAATCACGCAATCCAATATCACAGTCTGTGGTTGTTCCAATTGGTCACTACACAATTTCATCTTTTCTTATTGCACTGATAGATTTCTCATTGAATGCTTGGTTAAACATCCACATTTAAACCTTTTTCTAAAGGTCAGGAGGGAGGGGCTGATTTCATTTTGCTCGGGAGGGAGTTCCAGAGCCGAGGGGCCATCACCGAGAAGGCCTGTCTCTCGCCTCCACAATCGCGCCTGTGAAGGAGGTGGGACTGACAGCAGGCCCTCCTCAGAAGATCTTAATCTCCTTGCCGGCTCATTAGGACAAGTAAACTGGGCCAGAACCGTTTTGGGGTTTACAGGCTAAAACCAGCACTTTGAATTGAATAGCAGACGGGCAGCCAGTGGAGCTGATGCAACAGGAGGGATGTGGCGCAGCTGGTTGAGTGTCAGCTGCATTAAGATCACTCTGACCAAAAGGTCATGAGTTCGAAGCCAGCCCGGGTTGGAGTGGGTTTCCAACCAATTGTGTAGCCTGTTGTCGACCTTTGCAACCCGAAAGACAGTTGCATCTCTCAAGTAGGAAAATTAGGTACCACCTTAAAAGTGTGGGGAGGCTTATTTAACTAATTTATGAGGCCATAAAAAAAAAAGACTCCAGCGGGGAAGCATGCAGGGAATGCGGAAGTACTTCATCTGTGTCACAGATGGACGATGAAAGCGACAGCTCCCCTGGCGGCCAGAAAAAGTTAAATAGCCTCTGTGTATCTCTGTATACGTTGTATGTCAAATTGGCATTGAATGTTTGCCATATATGTGTTCATTGTAATCCGCCCTGAGTCCCCTGCGGGGCGAGAAATACTGCAAATAAATAAATAAATAAACTCATGCCGTTTAAGGTCATTTGGCCACATCTCTGGTTTCAGGCAACTGCAATCCACTGATGCATGGGTCTTAATATTTCTCTGGAGTCATTTATGTTCCAACCTTGAGAAAAACATCAACACAAATCCATAATACCAGGACTGTGGCGCAGCTGGCTGGGAGTCAGCTGCATTAAGATCATTACTGATCGAAAGATCATGAGTTCGAAGCCAGCCCGGGTCGGAGTGAGCTACCAACCATTTGTCTAGCTTGCTGTCGACCTTTGCAGCCTGAAAGACAGTTGCATCTGTAGGAAATTTAGGTACCGCTTATGCAGAGAGGCTAATTTAACTCATTTACAACATCATAAAATCTCCAGCAAGCGTGCAAAGAATGAGGAAGTACTCCATCAGTGTCACAAATGGACAGTGAAGCGACAGCTCCCCTGGTGGCCAGTAAACCCTCATGACGCTGGAATGTTAAATAGCCTCTGTGTCTGTCTATATATGTTGTATGTCTATGGCACTCAATGTTTGCCATGTATATGTACATTGCAATCCGCCCTGAGTCCCCTGCGGGGTGAGAAATATAAATACTGTAAATAAATAAATAAATGGCCCAACAGTAATCCCAAATGCAAGTGGTGTCTTTTCTTTGACAGGCATGCCATGCAGGTTATTTCAAATACGCTCTGGCAGAGAACAAGAAGAAGCCGGCAATACTCCTGCCGAAGGAAGTTCTGAAGGGGGCTCACCGCGGTAACTGGCTGGCTCCATGTGTAAGTCTCTGTGTCCAGGACGTGGACGTGATCGTTCCACCCTCGAGGGAGACCTGAATTCTGGAGACAAGAACATTTAAAAATACTTATATCTCGCCTCACGTCGTAAAATTACAATAACACCCATTTAAATTTGGGACAATGGCGAGTGAAAACAACAAGTATTCTTAAAAATATAAACAACAGAATAAATAAGCAACTGAATAATTGCAAAGCACTCCCTATGGAGATATTTTGAAGACTTGTTTTACGTAATGTGTTTATACCCCACCACTTATAATAATAACATGCAATCTAAAACCTTGTATTTTGAAAACATTTAGAAGTAATAGAATGCCAACATCTCCTTCTGTGAAGCAGTTTCAGCTCTGATAACTTAGGGTGCATCTACACTGCAGAATGAATGCATTTTGACACCACTTTGTCTGCCCTGTCTCAATGCTATGGGATCATAGAATCCTAGAGTTGGAAGAGACCTCGTGGACCATCCAGTCCAACCCCATTTTGCCAAGAAGCAGGAAAATCGCGTTCAAAACACTCCCGACAGATGGCCATCCAGCTTCTGTTTCAAAGCTTCCAAAGAAGGACGCTCCACCACACTCCAGGGCAGAGAGTTCCACTGCTGAACAGCTCCCACAGTCAGGAAGTTCTTTCTCATGTTCAGGTGGAATCTCCTTTCTTGTAGTTGGAAGCCATTATTCCATTGCATCCTAGTCTCCAGGGAAACAGAAAACAAGCTTGCTCCCTCCTCCCTGTGGCTTCCTCTCACATTTATACATGACTATCATATCCCCTCTCAGCCTTCTCTTCTTCAGGCTAAACATGCCCAGCTCCTTAAGCCGCTCCTCATAGGGCTTGTTCTCCAGACCCTTGATCATTTTAGTCGCCCTCCTCTGGACACATTCCAGCTTGTCAATATCTCTCTTGAATTGTGGTGCCCAGAATTGGACACAATATTCCAAGTGTGGTCTAACCAAGGCAGAATAGAGGGGTCTTGGGAGTTTGCTTAGGCTCAGCACCTTCTGGCAAGGAAGGTTAAAAGCATGGTAAAACTACAACTCCCAGAATTCTATAATATAGAGTCATGTCAGATAAAGCAGTGTCAAACTGCATTAATTCTATACAGTGTAGGTGGCACCCTTTAACAGCAACAATACAAGGGGGAAAACTCAATTTCACGCGCTTTGCATAACCAAATTTGAAACATTTTCTGTTCTGGCTTGAAAGTGTTGTTTCCTGTTTAATTGTGCAGTCCTTACTTTGAAAGTAGTTGTTCTACTCCAGAAACTTTGGTTTTTTGGTTGCCATGATTTTGTGGTTGCAATTGAAGACCTCACAACCTCTGAGAATGCCTGCCACAGATGCAGGCAAAATGTCAGGAGAGAATGCTTCTAGAACATGGCCATATAGCCTGAAAAACCTACAACAACCCTGCCATGAAGTTGGTTGAATTAGCTGACTCAATTAGATGTTCATTGAAAAATGAGAGAAAAATGTGCTAAAGCAGGATGTCCCTCCCACAAGACCAAAGATTTTGCAGTTCATTAAACTCTCTCATGTTTTAATAATAGAACCAATTAGGAAATTGTTGCACTCTAGCTGTGGAAACACCTTTTCACCCAGCACCATACAGAGTCCAGAAGTAGTTAACTACAGTGTATTTACAAAAAGTATGTACAAAAGGGCAATTCCCAAAAACTAAAAGAAAGGATGCTATGAAACAGCAGTAGTCCAAAATACAAAGATCAATAGTCCCAGATAGCAAGGCACAAATAATCCATGAAGGCCAGGTATGTGAAATCCATGAAGTCAAGACCTTAGGCATAAATCCATAACATGAAAGAGGAACATAGACATTAATCCCTAGGCATGAAAACAGGAACTTTTCCAAGACAAAACTATTCCAGGAACACAGGCAACTTGAGAGCTAAACTTGATCTTGATTTTAAAGGCAATGTTGTCTGCTCTGAAGGGACCAGGAAACCAGCTCTTAATATAATCTCAAACCAGGCTAAAAAACCATGAGGTCATCCCTTTTGTACCTGGGTTTCAAGGACTGTTTCTCATTAAGTCTTTCTGACCTTCGAATTAACCTTTCCTTTGCTCTCTCTGAGCAGAGACCTAATCTCATATCGCGGGACAACTCCCCATCCTCTGAAGGCAGTTTCTCAAGAGAAACAGAATCCCAGACAGCTTTTATTTCTTCTGCAGCTGTTGGCCCTTCACTCTGATCTACGGCCTGCATTTCTGTCTGAGTTTCAGCTGATCACCCACAGACTCAGTCAAAAATCCATCATTCCCCTCATCCTCTGAGGCAGAATCCCTAGCATCTTGCTGCTGCGCCCAAACAGAAATGACATTTATAACCCAGAAACAAAACTCATATTTCATTAAAAAAAATTCAATGTCTATGCAGGTCTGATATACTGTATATACTCGAGTATAAGCCTAGTTTTTCAGACTTTTTGGGGGCTGAAAAAGTCCCTCTCAGCTTATGCTAATCAAGGTTATTTATTATTTTACTCTGTTATAAATATGTAATAAATATATTATTATTATTATTACATTTATTATTTTACTTTATTGTTGTTATTATTACACTTATTATTTTACTCTATTTATTATTGTTGTTATTATTACATTTATTATTTTACTCTATTTATTTATATTGGAAGGGTACGCAAACACATTTACATTGAAGACGGTCAGAACGGTTTAATCAGAGGTGGACAGTCTTATCTTAAATTACAGTTTTATGTAAATATTCCAAAACATGTAACCTCCTGATGCCTCAATTAATGTAATTTTATTGGTATCTATTTTTATTTTGAAATTTGCCAGTATCTGTTGCATTATACTCGAGTCAAACTGTTTTACCAGTTTTTTGTGGTAAAATTAAATTCCTCGGTTTATATTTGGGTCGGCTTATACTCGAGTATATACGGTAATTTAAACCCCTCATGCTAGTCCTGACAGGTTTGTAGATTTTCTCCCATAAGCATATATTGATCTAGAAGAGATTCCAGGGTGAAAAATGCAAAGGGACTCACCCAAAATGACGTTTCATCGAACTCAAACGTGCCAATCTGCTCACCTTCCGGGTAATAGCCGTAGCCGCCAAAAAAGACAAGCCTGCCAAGACATGGAATTTATTTATTTATTTACAGTATTTCTATTCTGTCCTTCTCACACCGAAGGGGATTCAGGGTGGATCACAGAACTCATATACGGCAAACATTCAATGCCGTTATACACTGACAAGACACTGTACATAGATAGAGGTATATAGGCTTTTCCCATCTTTGGTGTCTTGGAGCTTGTGCTTGATTCTGGCCACAGGGGGGTGCTGTCGCTCTATCCTCCATGTCGAAAATCCCTGTTCACAGACTCCTTTTTTATTGAATTGCCAGCATTTTCTGGTATTTCCTTATGGTGCTTAAGCAATACCTATTTCTCTACTCACAGTGAGGTGGACAGTGAGCTGGGCTGAAGGTTAGGCCTTCACCCATGAACTGTGCTTCGAACTGCCAACCTTTCGATTGGCAAGATTTATTGCAGCTGGTGGTTAACCTGCTGTGCTTAAGCCTGGCCATGGAAGGCATTGAAAGATCAGGAAAAACATAACAAGATGAATACCCAGCAAAAGATTGGCTACTCTTTTCGCTACTGGAAGGCACACAGTAAGCTGTTGCTTTAACATTTAAACCTGGGGCTTGAAACAGGAAAATCTAGAATACCTGGGGGAGAGGGAATGCAGTCTGGCTATTCCTTATCCAAAAAGGAAGAAAAAGGAAAGTTTTGAGGTTTTTGTTTTCTGTAAACGACAGTTCTTTCTACAACTTGTTGAAATGAAACACAAGACAGGGTGTCATGCAATCCTTTCCGGCAGAGAAATACGGAAGAGGCGCGTTTTCCTCACTCACTTGTTTTTGTAAGCCCAGACACCAAGTTTGTCTTTTGAGGAGGGAGGGACCCCCTGGCACTCCACCCGGACCCACTGCAAGACCTCATCGTTCGACCTGGAATTCAGCATGTAGAACTAAGGGGAAAGAAAAGAACAGAAACAGAGAGCAGGACATTCAGTGGAGATTCAAAGGTGCATCTACACCAGACATGGGCAAACTTGGGCCCTCCCTCCAGGTGTTTTGGACTTCAACTCCCATAATTCCTAACAGCCTCAGGCCCCTTTCTTTCCCCCATCAGTTGCTTAAGGGCCTGAATGGAGGGAGGGCCTAAGTTTGCCTATGCCTGTCTTATGATAAACTGAAATGCAGGGCATGCATGAGACAAGAGACAAAATGAACCGATCCTCTCAGATGTCTCTCTAAGGATTATGCCTGTGATGATTAGGTTAAAGAGAAAAGCTAAGCAACACATTCTCTTTCAACTCCTAAATGGAGACATGGAATGGAAAGCAATGCATGGAGGCACATTTCCTGGTCACTGACCTTGTTTGTGTTGCCACGCGCATGATGCCCCCCAAAGAGATACAAGACTCGGTCCATACAGACAGCGCAGCTTCCAGACATGGAAGGCGGCACATCTCCTGACGTTCTGTGTTTCGTCCTGGTAAAGTAGTAGTAAAATAATAATTTTTATTATGATATGTCTGTTAATTGTGTTGTTGAAGGCTTTCATGGCCAGAATCACTGGGTTGCTGTGAGTTTTCCAGGCTGTCTGGACATCTTCCAGAAGCATTATCTCCTAATGTTTCACCCACATCTATGGCAGGCATCCTCAGGGGTTGTGAGGTCTGTTGGAAACTCCACAGATATATAAACCCCACTTGCCTAGTTTCCAACAGACCTCACAACTTCTGAGGATGACTGCCATAGATGTGGGTGAAACATATGGAAAAAATGCTTATGGGACATGGCCATACAGCTCAGTTATGGATGAGGTGAGGCTCAAAGGTAGTATGTAAATGTCTTCGTAAACAAACACTTAAATTAAATAATAATAATAATAATAATACTTATATTGCTGGTGGAACACTTAAATTAATATATAGTATTTATTTATTTAGTACATTTGTATCCCCTCCTATTCTCAACCTCCAGGGAAGGACTCAGGGTGGCTTCGAACAATATAAAAACACCAATAAAACACACAATTACATAAACTTATAATAAATTTACATTTAGAAACAGTTCGCCAGGTTTTAAAACAGAGATATGTGTGCATGCATTTTAAGAAGTAACTTATAGTACTGTACCATCGTCCAGTTTCCATGTTATAGATCCAGATTTCATCTCTAGGCAGGTAAAAGTCATAAAAGCCCCTCACTTGTGCATTCTGAAAGGGGGAAGAAAATGTCCCATTATTATATGACAAATAAAAACAATTATCCAGACAACAAGCAGTCAAGACCTCCTGAACAGAGGGTGCTTCCACGCAACAGAAGCCAGGCTACCTCTATGATTGACTTTGTAAACTTCATGGCTACTGAAATGCTAATTCAAGCTTGAGAATTGCAATAGTCACACTTGCTTTAAACAGACAAGGGTTCTTTCTCCCACCCTGGACATTTCACAGATATATACACTTGCCTCACAACCAACAGAACCTCTGAAGATGCCAACAGCCACAGATGCAGGCAAAATGTTACTGGAACATGCCCATATAGCCCAAAAATCTCACAGCAAACCACTGTCTTTTCGAATGCTTGTTAGTACAAATGATGCCACCAGGACTTGAACCAGGACTTGAACCATAAGGGATGTCCAGATTGAGGAACAGCAATGTTACAAGAGAATGCTGCTGAAACATAGCCATACAGCCTGAAAAACTTACAGCAACCCAATTATATTACACATATCTAATATTTTGGGATCATCCCAGCCATTTTTAAAGCTAATAGGTCAAATAACCCCAACCTCCTTTGTCTTCTGATGAAATCTTGTCAAGAAACCATAAGACAGGTTTGCCTCAGAGCTGTCATAAGTCCGGAACAACTTAAAGGCGGACACTGGAAAGTATGGGAAGCAATGTCCACAGAGAGCACCACTTCACTGTCATGGGGGTCCCTAACCCAGTGAATATTGAAGGTGGGCTGCATCACTGAAGCAGACAGGGGTCCTTTCCCGCTCACCTTGTATCCCCCCCACACAAACATGCACTGCCCATCAGTGACGGCCACATGGCCGCTCCGCTCGGCAGGGCTGCCGTTATCCAGCGGATCCAGGTTGTCCTCCGCTGGAGGCGCCTCTTCGTCCATCGGCAACTCTTCATTGTCTTCTGCCATGTCGGCGTAGGAATATCAGTCTTCCAAAGGGGGAGAAAAGAGGAGAAAATGTCAACTAAGATGGTCAAAAAACTGAAAATCAAGCGCTGAGGAACACCTTAGGGCAGGCATAGGCAAACTTTAGCCCTCCAGGTGTTTTGGACTTCAGCTCCCACAATTCCTAACAGTCTCAGGCCCATTCCTTTTCTTTTCCTTTTCCGCTTAAGCAGTTGAGGGGGGAACGGAAGGGCTCTGGGGCTGTTAGGAATTGTGGGAGTTGAAGTCCAAAACACCTGGAGGGCCCAAGTTTGTCCATCATGTATGCTCTAAGTCTAGAGATTACAAGACAAAGCAACCGATTCAGATGTCAAGAAAAGAGGTTTTAAATGAGGAGTAACTTCTTCATTGTAAGAGTAGTTCAGAAATGGAATGGACTGCTTAACAGATCTTTAAATAGATGTTGGGTTAGGTAGCCCTTGGGGTCCCTTATATGACCTTAAGACATTTAGCTGTAACGAATACGATTTTCCTTTCTGTCCTTGTACAGTCAACACAGAAGCAAGCTGGACTGGCAAGTGAATTTTTTTCAGCACCAGTGAAATAGCTCAAAGGGTTGGACAGGAAGGTCCTTGCGGTCGCATCTAATTCTATGTTTCTGTAAGTCCAATAATAATAATAATAATAATAATAATAATAATAATAATAATAATAATAATAATAAATTTATTTATTTATATACCGCTCCATCTCCCCCAGGGGACTCAGAGCGGTTTCCAAGTAACATCACAAAACATACAAAATAAAAAACAACATAACCATAAGATTAACAAAACAAAATATAAGCATAAAAATTGTTGCCATAACACACATGTATTAAAAAACATCCTGATGGCAAGAGTCATTTGGCAGTGATAGATTCTCCATGTGCTAGAAAACAAAACTTTTCCCCTCCTCAACATGACATTCTTTCCAATATTTAAACATGGCTCTTACTGGAATCTCCTCTCTCAGCCTTCTCTTCTCCAAGTTAAACATACCTAGCTAAACAGCTCCTCAGAAGGATTCATGGCTTCCAGACCTCTGACCATTTTGGTTGCCCTGTTCTGGACACCTTCCACCCTGTTGTGGTTAACTGCAATCAAGCTAACTTTGATTTATGGTGAACCCATGAGGAATAGCCCTCCAAGTGCTCCTATCCTCAACAGTCCTGTTCAGGGATTGTAGGCTCAGGGCACCTATGGTTTCTCTCATTGAATCTATCCACTTGTAATGTAATCCTCTTCTCCTGCTGCCTTCCACCATACAACCATAGAATCATAGAGTTGGAACACGCGGTTGTCTCTTATAGTGAGTCATCTCTTCTCATGGTATGTCCAAAGTAGGACAGCCTCAGTTTACTCATCTCCACTTGGCAACCCATTATTGGCATTTGCCACAGTAGAAGCTTTAGTCTGGGCACAAAGCTCTAAAAATTGCCTGAAACATGACCGACTGCTTTTTCTGTATCTCTGATGTCATCCTCACAAGGAGGTAAGTCAGCATACTCTACATACCTGAGACTTAAACACTGGGCTTCATCAAGGCATCTTTTGCCATTATTGAGTTGGAAGAGACCACAAGGGCTACCCAGTCGTCAAAACGTCATGCTAAAATACTATAAAACTATGTCTTCCAATTCAATTCCTCATCCAATTACATCATCTTAGCCGTTCCTTGTTCACATTTCACTTTGACTTTATTTGGTCATGCTGAAGTTCCAAACGCTTGCTCAAAGATCCAGGTTTTCACTCTTTTTCGAAAGGTCAGGGAGGAGGAACACACACCCTCCAAACGGGAAGTTTAGCTTCACGACTATGTATGTTTTTACTAGCTCCCTGCAGATAACTTGCTCCTATTTTTATCTCATTAGAGTTTTAGAATTGTTTTTATCCTATACATGTGGCCCGCCCATTGTTATTGCAATTGTGCCTATTGGAACGTTATTTTATGACTGTGTTTTTTTAAATGTAATTTGATGGTGTTGTTTATTGTTTATGCTCTGGTTTTATTTTGTTGTATTATGTTGTCTGGGCTTGGCCCCATGTAAGCCGCTCCGAGTCCCCATTGGCGAGATGGTGGCAGGGTATAAGATTATTATTATTATTATTATTATTATTATTATTATTATTATTATTAAGGAGGGGCTGACCTAATATCCCTAGGCAAGGAGTTCCACAGCTGAGGGGCCAACACACAGAAGGCCTTGTCTCTTGTCACCGCCAGACGCGCCTGTGTATATACAGTGTATTGTCGAAGGCTCCTCTCACTTCCTGCAGAAGTGAGAGGATCTCTCTTGTCCTTTGCTGTGTACCATGCAGCTGTGGACAAGTCTACAGAGGGACCACCAAACGCAGCAGCATTGCCCAAACATGAATCAAGGAACATGAAAGGCACTGCAGACTACTTCAGCCAGAGAAGTCAGGCATAGCAGAGCACCTGATGAACCAACCTGGACACAGCATTTTATTTGAGAACACAGAAATGCTGGACCACTCTCACAACCACCATATCAGACTACACAGAGAAGCCATTGAAATCCACAAGCATGTGGACAATTGCAACAGAAAGGAGGAAACCATGAAAATGAACAAAATCTGGCTACCAGTATTAAAAAAAACTCTAAAATTACAACAGCACAACAACAGAGGGAAAACAATCAGGGACATCTAATCACCTCTCAACAAAAGTTTGCTCGAGGCACTGTCAGGCCATTATATGCTAATCAAGGTGATCAGTTGAAACATTCACACCTAGCTCCAGCAGACAAGAGTCCTTTGTCCCACCCTGGTCATTCCACAGATATATAAACCTTTTTGCCTAGTTCCAACAGACCTCACTACCTCTGAGGATGCTTGCCATAGATGCAGGCGAAACGTCAGGAGAGAATGCCTCTAGACCACATTATTTATTTATTATTTGAACTTATATGCCGCCACTCCCCTGGGGCTCGGAGCGGCTTACAAGAATGGCTAAAATCTAACAAAATTTAAAAGCAATTTAAAACAATTTAAAAACAACACTATCAAACATTAAAAGCCTGTCGAAACAGGTATGTCTGACATGCCCTGCGGAAAGCTGGTAAGTCCCGCAGGGCACGAACTTCAGGTGGCAGAGCATTCCAGACTGATGGTGCCACTGCTGTGAAGGCTCTGCGTCTGGTTGCTGTTAGACGCAAGGTCTTGACACTGGGGACTTCCAATAGATCTTGGTCCTCAGAACGGAGGGATCTCTGGGTTGGTAGGGGGTGAGGCGGTCCCTCAGATACATCGGCCCCAGACCATGCAAGGCCTTAAAGGTGAGTACCATCACTTTGAAAGTGATCCGGTGCTCAATTGGTAACCAATGCAGCTGCAGTAAGATTGGTGTGATGTGGCATCTCATCGGAGTTCCCGCAGTGCATCACAGAGACCTGGTTGGACGAAGCGGGAGGTGTAAATTTAACCCAGCTTTGCCCACCAGGTTTCTCTGTGCAGCACCAACCGAGATCCAGAGGGCGGGGAGGCGGAGTTGCAGTGGTCTATAGAGATTCCATTCTTCTGACCAGGGCCCCCATCCCGCAGTCAACAAATTTTGAATGCGTCCACCTGAGGGTGGGTGACCGGGACAGATTAGGGATTCTGTTAGTGTACCGTCCACCTCGCTGCACTACAGTCTCCCTGACTGAGCTAGCGGGGGTGGTCTCGGACCTGGCATTGGAGTCCCAGCGGCTGCTTGTGCTGGGGGACTTCAATGTCCACGCCGAGACTGCCTTATCGGGAGCGGCTCAGGACTTCATGTCTGCCATGGCAATCATGGGGCTGTCCCAACAGGTATCTGGCCCCACCCACAGTGCTGGACACACATTGGACTTGGTTTTCTGCCAGGGATGGGAGGAAGGTGGCGGTGTTGAGGAGTTATCCATCTCTCCGTTGCCATGGACCGACCACCACCTGGTCAGCTTTAGACTCACTGCACCCCCTAACCTCTGCAGAGGTGGAGGACCCATTAAGTTGGTCCGCCCCAGGAGGCTTATGGATCCGGATGGATTCCTGACGGCTCTTGGGGAATTTCCCGCCACCTCGGTTGGTGATCCTGTTGATGCCCTGGTCGCTCTCTGGAATGGGGAGATGGCTAGGGCAATAGACACGATCGCTCCAGAACGTCCCCTCTCAAGTAGCCGAGCTAAACCAGCCCCTTGGTTTACTGAGGAGCTGGCAGCGTTGAAGCGATAGAAGAGGGAACTAGAGAGCGTGTGGCGTTCGGATCCGAGCGAACCAAATCGAACACGGTTTGTGTCCTTTTTAAGGGCATATGCCGCGGCAATAAAAGCCGCAAAGAAGACTTTCTTTGCGGCCACTATTGCGTCTGCAAAGAACCGTCCGGCTGAACTGTTCCGAGTTGTCAGAGGCCTGTTAAACCCACCATGCAGGATGGGTGCCCTGATGACTCGGCAGCTCGCTGTGAAGCCTTTGCTCAGTTCTTTGCAGACAAAGTCGCTTTGATCCGCTCTGGTCTGGATACCATATTAACGGCAGTCTCTGAGGATGTAACACGAGCATCTGCTTGTCCGGTTTTGATGGATTCATTTCAATTGGTTCAAACCGAGGATGTGGACAAGGTGCTTGGAGGAATGAGAGCTACCACATGCATCCTAGACCCCTGCCCATCCTGGCTTCTGAAGGAGGCCAGAGGGGGATTGGCCAAGTGGGTGAAGGTGGTGGTTAATGCCTCCCTTCGGGAAGGCAAAATTCCAGCCAGCTTAAAGCAAGCTGTGATAAAACCGCTGTTGAAAAAACCATCACTGGACCCCACTCAATTCGTCAACTATCGGCCTGTTTCCAATCTCCCCTTTTTGGGCAAAGTCCTGGAACGTGTGGTGGCCTCACAACTCCAGGCATTCTTGGTAGACACGGATTATCTGGATCCGGCACAGTCTGGCTTTAGGCCGGGGCATGGTACCGAGACAGCCTTGGTCGCCTTAGTGGATGATCTGCGCCGGGAGCTCGACAGGGGGAGTGTGTCCCTGTTGGTGCTGCTGGACCTCTCAGCGGCCTTCGATACCGTCGACTACGGTATCCTTCTGGGACGCCTCGCAGGGATGGGTCTTGGAGGTACTGTTTTCAGTGGCTCCGCTCATTCCTCGAGGGTCGGTCTCAGAAGGTGTTACTGGGAGTCTCCTGTTCAACCCCACAACCTTTGTCTTGTGGGGTTCCTCAGGGTTCAATATTGTCTCCCATGTTGTTTAACATCTACATGAAGCCGCTGGGCGAGATCATCCGGAGTTTCGGGGTACGGTGTCATCTGTACGCAGATGATGTCCAACTCTGTCACTCCTTTCCACCTGCTACTAAGGAGGCTGTCCAGGTCCTGAACCGGTGCTTGGCCGCTGTGACAGTCTGGATGAGGGCGAACAAATTGAAACTGAATCCAGACAAGACAGAGGTACTCTTGGTTAGTCGTAAGGCCGAACAGGGTATAGGGTTACAGCCTGTGTTGGATGGGGTCGCACTCCCCCTGAAGACGCAGGTTCGCAGTTTGGGTGTGATCCTGGACTCATCGCTGAGCCTGGAACCTCAGGTTTCGGCGGTGACCAGGGGAGCATTCGCACAGTTAAAACTCGTGCGCCAACTGCGCCCGTACCTTGGGAAGTCTGACTTGGCCACGGTAGTCCACGCCCTGGTTACATCCCGTTTAGACTACTGCAACGCTCTCTACGTGGGGTTGCCTTTGAAGAGCTTCAATTAGTCCAACGGTCGGCAGCCATGATACTAACAGGAGCGGAGCACAGGGAGCATACACTCCTCTGCTGCACCAGCTCCACTGGCTGCCGATTTGCTACCGGGCTCAATTCAAAGTGCTGGCGTTGGCCTTTAAAGCCCTAAACGGTTCTGGCCCAACCTACCTATCCGAACGTATCTCGGCCTATCAGCCCACCAGGACCCTAAGATATTCTGGGGAGGCCCTGCTCTCTATCCCGCCTGCTTCACAGGTGCGGCTGGTGGGGACGAGAGACAGGGCCTTTTCTGTGGTGGCCCCTCGGCTATGGAACGCCCTTCCCATGGAGGTAAGATCAGCCCCCTCGCTGATGGTGTTCCGAAGAAGATTAAAAACCTGGATGTTCGAACAGGCATTTGGTTAATCGGTGCAATGAATGTGATGATTACAGGAATGGTAATATGGACGACGAAACTGGATCACGATTTTAGTCATGAGATGCATTGGGTTGTTATTGTTGTGTCAATATTGTGTATTATGCTTTTATGGTTTTAAATTGTATATTGTTGACTGTTGTACCTTTGTTGTAAACCGCGTTGAGTTGCCTGTTAGGCTGAGAAACTGCGGTATACAAGTAAAGTAAATAAATAAATAAATAAATCCCCGCAAGAAGCCGAGCAGCTGCGTTTTGTACCAACTTGAGCTTCCGAATCACCGACAGAGGAAGGCCAATGTAGAGGGCGTTACAGTAGTCCAGTCTTGAGATGACCGTGGCCTGGATCACCGTAGCTAGGTCGTCCCTGGACAGGGAGGGGGCCAGCCGTCTAGCCTGCTGCAGGTGAAAGAAGGCGGTTCTGCTCACGGCGGAGACCTGGGCCTCCATCGTCAGCAGAGGGTCCAAAAGGACTCCCAGACTCTTGACCAATGATTACGGGCATAACGCCTCGCCATCCAGGGTCCACCCAGCCATAGGATCTCCGTCTTTGGATCTCCGTCTTTGCCGGATTCACCCTCAACCTGCTGGCACGCAGCCATCCAGTAACGGCCTCGAGGCACTGATGGAAACAATCGGTTACAGAGTCCGGTCGGCCCCAGCTGAGTGTCATCAGCGTATTGGTAACACTCAAGCCCAAAACCTCGAACCAGCTGAGCAAGTGGTCGCATATAGATGTTAAACAACAGAGGGGAGAGAATGGCCCCCTGAGGAACCCCACAAGATAGAGGGGACCTCTCAGAGACCAGGCCTCCCCTCTCCACTCGCTGTCCACGGTTGTGAAGAAAGGAGGACAGCCAGTTTAAAGCTCTCCCCCTGATTCCAGCAACAGCAAGGCGGTGGGTCAAGAGATTGTGGTCGACTGTGTCAAATGCTGCTGTGAGATCCAATAGCCATATAGCCCGAAAAAACTACAACAACCCCTGTGTATATACACCTATAGATGTATACCACTAAGAAGCAAGCCTGGGTTTGGCGATTTTAAAAAGAAAGGGGTTTTATCTCTAAGCCATTGTCTAGGCCAACTTGGGCCCTTCCTCCCTCTAGGTGTTTTGGACTCCAACTCCCACAATTCCTAACTCCAGGTAGGCTGTTAGGAACGGTGGGAATTGGAGTCCAAAACACCTGGAGGGCCCAAATTGGCCCAGGCCTGGCTTAGGCCTTGAAGCCTCCATGAAGGTTGGTTTCAAGGCCTTGTCAACGCTGTCAAAAGAGAAGCCAGGGCCCTCGAGTAGGAGGCTAGCAGCAGGGAAGGGAGGAGGAAGGACCCCTACAAAGGGGAGGAAGCCCCTCCAGGAGGGAGAGGAAGGAGAGAAGGCAAGGAGGGCCGGGTCGCAGGACTCACCTCAGCAAGGCCGCTCTCCTTCTGTCAACATCCGCCTCTGCCTCACAAAGGAAGTCCCTCCCCCTCGCCCGAGCACAAAAGGCCCCCGGATAGCACAGCGCTCCCCCTGGAGGAGCGGAGGGGAAGCGCGCCCTCAAGGGACTTCATATCCCAGCATGCCTCGCCATTAAATCAAAGCAGCGGAGGCTTCTGGGAGATGGAGTCCAAAATATGGGCAGCCCCCATATTGATACACCACAAACACTGAAATGTGGAAAATCTTATTATTATTATTATTATTATTATTATTATTATTACTATTATTTGAAACACAACAAGATGAGTCCACAGCAAACAAGATCACTCTGCTAGCTATATTATTATTATTATTATTATTATTGCATTGTACTTCCCAACCTTATTTTCATCTTCATCGCTATGATACTTCACCTTGTTGATGGGAAGCTTCCCACCGGAGTGGAAATAATCTATTGGACAGATGGCAAGCTATTCAACCTCAGCAGACTGAAAGCAAAACCAAGGTTACAACAACATCTGTTATAGAACTCCAATATGCTGATGACAACGTCATCTGTGCGCATTCAGAAGAAGACCTACAAGCCACTCTAAACACCTTATTATAATTCTTATTATCATTACCAAAATCATCATCATCGTAATTTTTATCCTTATCACCATATCTTTATCATTATCACTATCATTATTACCAGTATCATTATTATTGTTATCTTTAGCATTACTATTAGTACTATGTGGATGGTGGTGTGCATTGTGTTGCTTTGTACTTCCCAGCCCTGAATATGAGCATCTCAGGAATGTATTGTAGAAGGCTTTCATGACTGGAATCACTAGGTTCTTGTAGGTTTTTTCGGGCTATAGGGCCATGTTCTAGAGGCATTCTCTCCTGACGTTTCGCCTGCATCTATGGCAAGCATCCTCAGAGGTAGTGAGGTCTCTTGGAACTAGGAAAATGGGTTTATATATCTGTGGAATGACTGATATCATGGAGATTTCAGAGGAGATTCCACCTGAACATGAGGAAGAACTTCCTGATTGTGAGAGCCGTTCAGCAGTGGAACTCTCTGCCCCAGAGCGTGGTGGAGGCTCCTTCATTGGAAGCTTTTAAACAGAGGCTGTATGGCCATCTGTCAGAGATGATTTGAATGTGATCTGCCTTCTTCTTGGCAGAATGGGGTTAGACTGGATGGCCCAGGAGATCTCTCCCAACTCTAGGATTCTATGATTCTAGGACACAATGGAGCCATGGCTTCAAATGAAAAGAAAGGAGATTCCACCTGAGTGTAGAGTGCAACCTGTTTAGGGCCTTTCACTCTTCTGTGTGCCCAGGAGGGAGTTTTTCGCCCGGTCTCAGCCACTGACTGAAGTGCTGACTTTGAGCCTGCCACTTTTGGACTCTCGCTTGCTGAGGTGTTCCTGCAAGTCTCTCTTAGAAAACTATTTCTTGGTTTAAGTCACTGGCTTGCTTATCAAACTGAACCTCGAGGTTTCGATGAGATAAGATTAAGTCTGTGGGTTTTGAAGTGATGGCTCATGCAAGTACTGCAGCATGAATTAAATGTTTTGTGAAGCTTGTTTAGTGCTGCTTCCTTGCAGACTAGGATGTGGAGCAATGGCTTCAAACTCCAAGAGAGGAGATTCCACCTGAACATGAGGAAGAACTTCCTGACTGTGAGAGCCGTTCAGCAGTGGAACTCTCTGCCCCAGAGTGTGGTGGAGGCTCCTTCTTTGGAAGCTTTTGAACAGAGGCTGGATGGCCATCTGTCAGGGGTGATTTGAATGCAACATTCCTGCTTCTTGGCCGAATGGGGTTGGACTGGATGGCCCAGGAGTTCTCTTCCAACTCTTTGATTCTAGGATTCTATGATTCATGGGGTCCTAGCATGGGAAGATTCTTCATCAGGCAATGACTTAGACAGCCCTGCGGGAGGGAGGGGGGGATGTGGCTGGGAAGAGCCGGAAGCGGAAGTGGCTGCCTCGGGGCGGGTGCGCGCGCAGTCAGGCGGGAAGTTCGTCCTGCTGGTGGTGAGGGAGGATGCGGCTCTCCTGCGAGGTGTCTGTGGCCAGCCGGCTGCTCCCTTCGGCGGGGCTGCGGGGCCCAGGGCGCGCTCTCCGGGCCGTGCTCGCCCTCGGGAAGGCCGCCGGAGGAGGAGGAGAAGAAAGGGGGCGCGGGGCCCGGCTCCTGCTTAGCACCGCCCGGCACAGGCCCGGATCCCACTACCAGGTAGGCCGCCCTTCACGGAGAGGCCCAGCAAAGGCCTTCATAGAAACACAGAATCCTAGAGTTGGAAGAGACCTCGTGGGCCATCCAGTCCAACCCCATTCTGCCAAGAAAGAGGCAGATCACATTCAAATCACCCCTGACAGATGGCCATCCAGCCTCTGCTTCAAAAGCTTCCAAAGAAGGAGCCTCCACCACACTTCCTCTGGGGCAGAGAGTTCCACTGCTGAACGGCTCTCCCCCACAGTCAGGAAGTTCTTCCTCATGTTCAGATGGAAGCTCCTCTCTTGGAGTTTGAAGCCATTGTTCCATTGCGTCCTAGTCTCCAAGGAAGCAGAAAACAAGCTTCCCAAAACATTTAATTCATGCTGCAGTCCTTGCATGAGCCGTCACTTCAAAACCCACAGACTTAATCTTATCTCAGGGCAACCTCGAGGATCGGTTTGATAAGCAAGCCAGTGACTTAAATCAAGAAATAGTTTTCTAAGAGAGACTTGCAGGAACACCTCAGCAAGCGAGAGTCCAAAAGTGGCAGGCTCAAAGTCAGCACTTCAGTCAGTGGCTGAGACCGGGCGAGAAACTCCCTCCTGGGCACACAGAAAAGTGAAAGGCCCTAAACAGGCTGCACTCTACACTCAGGTGGAATCTCCTTTCTTTTCATTTGAAGCCATGGCTCCATTGCGTCCTAGAATCATAGAATCCTAGAGTTGGGAGAGACCTCCTGGGCCATCCAGTCCAACCCCATTCTGCCAAGAAAGAGGCAGATCACATTCAAATCACCCCTGACAGATGGCCATCCAGCCTCTCTTTAAAAGCCTCCAAAGAAGGATCCTCCACCACACTCCTGGGCAGAGAGTTCCACTGCTGAACGGCTCTCAGTCAGGAAGTTCTTCCTCATGTTCAGATGGAATCTCCTCTCTATCCATCCATCTATTGCATCTATCACTCCATCTATCTGTCTATCCATCCTAGGTCCCTTCCACACATCCATCTATCTATCTATCTATCTATCTATCTGTCAATCCATTCATGCATCTATCTATCTATCCACCTACCGTATCTATCCATCCATCTATGCTAGGCTCCTTCCACACATAGAATCATAGAATCCTAGAGTTGGGAGAGACCTCCTGGGCCATCCAGTCCAACCCCATTCTGCCAAGAAAGAGGCAGATCACATTCAAATCACCCCTGACAGATGGCCATCCAGCCTCTCTTTAAAAGCCTCCAAAGAAGGATCCTCCACCACACTCCTGGGCAGAGAGTTCCACTGCTGAACGGCTCTCACAATCAGGAAGTTCTTCCTAATGTTCAGATGGAATCTCCTCTCTTGTAGTTTGAAGCCATTGTTCCATTGCGTCCTAGTCTCCAGGGAAGCAGAAAACAAGCTTGCTCCCTCCTCCCTGTGACTTCCTCTCACATATTTATACATGGCTATCATGTCTCCTCTCAGCTTTCTCTTCTTCAGGCTAAACATGCCCAGCTCCTTAAGTCGCTCCTCATAGGGCTTGTTCTCCAGACCCTTGATCATTTTACTTGCCCTCCTCTGGATACATTCCAGCTTGTCAATATCTCTCTTCAATTGTGGTGGCCAGAATTGGACACAGGGTGATTTCAGGTGTGGTCTGACCAAAGCAGTATAGAGCATGGGGGGAGTAGGACTTCCCTGGATCTAGACCAGGGGTCCTCAAACTTTTTAAACAGAGGGCCAGTTCACAGTCCCTCAAACTGTTGGAGGGCCGGGTTATAATTTTAAAAAAACATGAATGAATTCTTATGCACACTGTACATATTTTATTTGTAGTGCAAAAAACACTTAAATGCAATACAATAATTAAACTGAAAAACAATTTAAACAAATATAAACTTTTTAGTATTTCAATGGGTAGTGTGGGCCTGCTTTTGGCTGATGAGACAGGATTGTTGTTGTTGCTCTTGTTCTGTGCTTTTAAGTCGGTTCAGCGAGGTCTGGTTAAATGACAGAGGGCCATATCCGGCCCCTGGGCCTTAGTTTGAGGACTCCTGCTCAAGATCTTAGGAAGCTATTTCTTGATTTAAGGCACTGGCTTGCTTATCAAACCGATCCTTGAGGTTACCCTGAGATCAGATTAAATCTGTGGTGTTTGAAGTGATGATAATAAACTGCCTTGAGTCTCCAATAGGCTGAGAAAGGTGGTCTACAAATACAGTAAGTCAATAAATAAATTATTATTATTAATAATAATAATAATAATAATAATAATAGCTTTATTTATACCCCGCCACCATTTCCCCAAGGGACTCGGAGCGGCTTACATGAGGCCAAACCCAACAACACATCAATAAAAACTACAATAAGCAAAATAAACAATACAATTAGTATAACTCACACGTAGACAATAAAACACAAGAATTTAAAAACCTATGGCCGGGCCAGATGTAATAATTAAAACTTTTAAAATAAATGCTGGACATGAACAGAGGATGTATCTAGTAGGAGAGTTTTAAACCAAAAGTGGAGAACAACCCAACGGGTAATTAAAGTGCTTCTCAGGATATTTTGCAGGCACACTGGAACAGCCACGTTTTCAGGCTCCTCCTAAAGACTGCCAATGTGGGGGCTTGTCTGATGATGATGATGATGATAATAAACGGTAGAAGAAGAGAAACATGCAGTGGCTGCTCTCGAGACTAGGACGTGGAACAATGGCTTCAAACTACAAGAGAGGAGATTCCACCTGAACATTAGGAAGAATTTCCTGTGAGAGCTGTTCAGCAGTGGAACTCTCTGCTCTGGAGTGTGGTGGAGGCTCCTTCTTTGGAAGCTTTTAAACAGAGGCTGGATGGCCATCTGTCAGGGGTGCTTTGAATGTGATCTGCCTGCTTCTTGGAAGAATGGGGTTGGACTGGATGGCCCACCAGGTCTCTTCCAACTCTATGATTCTATGTCTCCTGGTTCCTATGCTGTTCCTTACCCCAAGTTGCTCAGCTGCTATGTATCTATTACTATTATTATATTATTATGTTTATTTATACCCTGTTTTATCTCCCGCAAAGGGAGATATGTGTCTATTATTATATATTATTACATTATTATATTTGGGAGGGCCTGGTGGCGCAGTGGGTTAAACCACTGAGCTGCTGAACTTACTGACTGAAAGGTTGGCGGTTCAAATCCAGGAAGCAGGGAGAGCTCCCACTGTTAGGCCCAGCTCCTGCCAACCTAACAGTTTGAAAATATGCAAATGTGAGTAGATCAATAGGTACCGCTCAGGCGGGAAGGTAACTGTGCTTCATGCAGTCATGCCAGCCACATGACCTTGGAGGTGTCTATGGACAACGCCGGCTCTTCAGCTTAGAAATTGAGATGAGCACCAACCCCCGAGTCGGACATGACTGGACTTAATGTCAGGGGAAGACTTTTACTTTGATTGTTATATTTATTTATTTATACCCTGCTTTATCTCTCCCGAAGGGGGTCCAAAGCAGCTATGTATCTATTATTATATATTATATTATTATCAAACCTGTCCCCCAAAGTCAAAACTGTGGCTGTTGAGGGAGGACTGTGTTCTTTGCCTAAGAAAACTATGGAATCCATGGGATTTCCCTCAGTCTACAGGAAATATGAAGGCACATTCGCATGGCTGCAAGCATTTGGCATGTTTATTTGTAGATTTATGGATCTATTGTGCCCTTTTCTTTTGAAACAGCTGAGAGAGAATGTGGAGCACCTTTTTACCAAGTTTGTGGAGGAAGGAAAAGCCACGGTGAGGCTGAAAGAACCAGCTGTGGACCTCCATATCAGCAAGGTAATACGACCAGGAAGGCCCTCTGTGCTCTAACGCTGTGAACCACCCGGAGACCCCTTCGGGGTTGAGAAGGACAGTGTTCAAATACCCCAAATAAAATAATAATAATAATTCTGTTGAAACTTTAATCAATTGAGTTGGCTTTGTTCTTGCAGGCTCTGTTTAATTTTGATCATATGAATTCAGCGCCACTGTGACTATTTGTTAGTTGTGATGGAGATGATGCTAAACAAAGTTGTATTGCCTTCTTTCCCTACTAATTTCCAAAAATTGGCCTCCTAGTGCTCTTGTGTATGTTTGCCTCATGATTCAAAAAGAACTAGCAAGCTTACAGAAAAAAAGCAATTGTTGATGGTCTCCTTGTGGATAAAGAGCCTGGAACCCCAGGTCTCAGCAGTGGCCGGGAGAGCTTTTGCGCAATTAAAACTTGTGCACCAGTTGCGCCCGTACCTTGGGAAGTCTGATCTGGCCACAGTGGTCTACGCTCTTGTTACATCCCGTATAGACTACTGCAACGCACTCTACGTGGGGTTGCCCTTGAAGACTGTTCGGAAACTTCAACTGGTCCAGCGAGCGGCAGCCAGATTGCTTACCGGAGCGACATACAGGGAGCACACCACCCCCTGCTGTGTCAGCTCCACTGGCTGCCGGTTCAGTTCCGAGCACAATTCAAGGTGCTGGTTTTGACCTACAAAACCCTTTACGGTTCCGGTCCAGTGTATCTGTCCGAACGTATCTCCCTCTACGTCCCACCCCGGAATTTGAGATCATCTGGGGAGGCCCTGCTCTCGACCCCACCGCTATCACAAGTGAGGCTGGTGGGGACGAGGAGCAGGGCCTTCTCAGTGGTGGCCCCTCACCTGTGGAACTCACTCCCGGGGGAAATCAGGGCATCAACATCCCTCCTCTCCTTCAGGAGGAAGGTAAAGACGTGGTTGTGGGACCAGGCCTTCGGGCAATCTGACAATTAGACATGGACAGCCAGATGGATAGGACTGAAAGGACTGACAATTGTGGAATGGGAATTTTGAACTATGAGATTGTGAAACGCCGACCGTCAATGACGTTTGTATTGGTTTTTATTGCTTTTATGGTTGTCTCTGCCTATACTAATTACTGTTTTCTGTTAACTGTTGTTATTGCCAGAATGCTGTTTTGTTAACTGATGTTATTGTCTTTTGCTGTTATGTGATGCGGGCATCGAATTGTGCCTTGCTTTTGTAAGCCACCCTGAGTCCCCCCCCCCCCCCCCCGGGGTGAGAAGGGCGGGGTAGAAGCAACCGAAATAAATAAATAAAGGAGAGAGATGGGGTGGAAATGTCCATTTATCTATCATTACCTGGATCGTTATACTGCAGTTAATGATGCTAGACTAAATATTGTACGCTGAATTTTAACATTGTACACTGACAAGCATTGACAAAGCTTAGCACTCAAAGGGATTAGCATACCCAACCATTGCTAAGGTTGTTTCTATTTTGCAAAGCCTCCTGCTTCTCAATCAGTCACAAGTAGTCCAGAGAAATCAGTGAAAAAAGTGAACCTGCAATTGTTGATGGTCTCCTTGTGGATAAAGAAACATAATAATAATAATGGTTTGCTATTTTTGCTGCAGGCCAATGTCAGCCAGCTGAAGACCTTCCTGTCTGCAGTGAAGCTGGCACACCGAGGCTCTGACGAGGAAAGCTTGCCGCTCTCTACCTTGGTTCCCCCAAAAGCTTCTGAGGTTGAGAAGCCAAAGACGAAAATGACCATCACTTCAAGGAAAGACTATCCTTTGACCCGGAACTTCCCGTACTCCCTGGAGCACCTCCAGGCCTCCTACTGCAAACTTGCCCGCGTCGACATGCGCATGCTTTGCCTGAAAAGCCTCCGGAAACTGGACCTGAGCCACAATCGGATTAAAACGCTTCCGGCAACAATTGGGGACCTGGTGTACCTTCAGGAGCTGAACCTTCAGGACAACCAGCTGGAGTCCTTTGGGGTGGCTCTGTGCAACTCCACCCTGCGGAAGTCTCTCCAGTCCCTGGACCTCAGCCAGAACAAGATCAGGGCCCTTCCAGCGCAGTTCTGCCAGCTGCGGGAGCTTGTTCACCTGAAGTTGGATGACAACCACCTCGTCCAGCTGCCCTTTAAGATCGGGCAGCTGAGCCAGCTCCGCTTCTTGTCTGTGGCTCGGAACAAGCTCCCCTTTTTGCCCAGCGAGTTTGTGAAGCTCTCCCTCGAGAGCCTGGATTTGTTTGGCAACCCTTTTGAGCAGCCCACGCCTCTCCTTCCCCAAATGCAGCTAGAAATACCCTTGACTTTATTAGAATATGCCGCAAGAGCAACCGTCAATTACAGGTAAAGGTGGAGGGACTGTCTCTGAACCCTAGGAAGGATAATAACACCTTCTCTTCTCCCTCTCAAATGTAGATTTAGAGCATTTTAAACTTGGAATAATGGCGATACCTACTTGGAGTGTTTCCTGAGAATATGCAGACTTTTGTCTTTACACTCTCAACTCCTGCAGTTTTCATCAGGATTGCTGGTCAGGATAGGGAACCTTTAACCTCACCTCCATCAGGCTCTCCTAAGCAGTATTTCTGGAGGGCTGGGTAATTGTTCAATTGCAGCTGCAAGCGTGGGGGGCAGACCCACAGGCAGGTTGAGAACTGGCTAGGGCTCCTTTTACACTGCCATATAATCCAGATTACCATATCAGATAATCCACATTGTCTGTTATGAACTGGATTATATGACTACACTGCCAGATAATCCAACTTGAAGCAGATAATCTGGATTACAGTGTAGAAGGGGTTTGGGTGCCTTGGTGACAGTACTGTGCTGAACAGCAAAAGGTCTACTGCATGGGTGTGATGAGAGATAATCTGTTACACGTTTTACAATAGCTGGTGGACAAGTAAGAATACAGAGTTCTCAGGCAGGAGGGTTTAGCCCAGTGGTTCTCAACCTTCCTAATGCCATGACCCCTTAATACAGTTCCTCATGTTGTGTTGACCCCAACCATAACATTACTTTTGTTGCTACTTCAAAACTATAATTTTGCTATTGTTATGAATCGTAATGTAAATATCTGATATGCAAGATGTATTTTCATTCACTGGACCAAATTTGGCACCAATATCCAATACACCCAAATTTGAATACCAGTGGGGTTGGACAGGGATTGATTTTGTCATTTGGGGGTTGTAGGTGCTGGGATTTATAGTTCACCTACAATCAAAGAGTATTCTGAATTCCACCAATGATGGAATTGAATCAAACTTGGCACTCAGAACCCCCATGACCAAGAGAAAATACTGGGAAGGTCTGGTTGACATTGACCTTGAGTTTTTGGAGTTGTAGTTCACCTACATCCAGAGAACAATGTGGACTCGAGCAATGATGGATCTGGATCAAACTTGGCACAAATACTCAATATGCCCAAATGTGAACACTGGGAGAGTTTGGAGAAAATAGAACTTGCCATTTGGGAGTTGTAGTTGTTGGGATTTATAGTTCACCTACAATCAAAGAGCATTCTGAACCCCACCGATAGAATTAGACCAAACTTTCCACACAGAACCCCCATGACCAACAGAAAATACTATGTTTTCTGATGGTCTTTGGTGACCCCTCTGACACCCCCTCATGACCCCCACAGGGGTCCCGACCCCCAGGTTGAGAAACACTGGTTTAGCCACACACAGCAGAGGAATCTCCACAATAGTCAGTAATTTGAAGCTGTTGAAATTAACTTTTCTTCAGTCCCAGATACAGGCAGCTTTCCATATTCACTGGGGTTGGAGCCATAGAACCCCAGCAAAAGTGGAGAAAACGCAAATTTAAAAAACCCGTATATATTATTTTACTTGAGGAGAACACTTCTCCAGGAATTTCTCCTCTCTCCAGTATGACTGGTCAACCTTCTTTAGTGGGGTTTCACTGGAGGACTTCTAGAGCGACCATATTAATCAAATATATGAGTAATCAAATCTGCAAAAATTAAACCTGCAAATGCAGAGGTCTGTACTAGGTATTGGATGTTATATCTTTCAAGGGGGGAGGGAACAGAACTTTGTAGATTACTTTATAGTGGGCAACGGGTGGGATGCAAGTAATTGTGGTGTGGGATGAGAGTTGGGATACCTGTAAGTCAGAAAGGACTTGAACGGCAATGGGGTAATTGCATGATTAGTGGGTCTGGATGTTGTTGTGCTGGGTGGGACGCCTGCCATTTTCCAATCTAACAGCCTTGGAGGGCTGTACAGAGGCCTGTCCCATTTTACAACTGTGCTATACCGTTGGCCCTCCACACTCGTGGTTTGACTTTTGCAGATTTGGTTATTCACAGACCTGATTAAAATATTCTTTCTAGAAATCTATAGGTCTTTCCGTGCGACTCTGTGGTCAATGTTGACATCGGAGGACCCGGGAATTCCTTGAGAGCACACCTCTTTATGTTTATGTTTTTATGGTTAGATACAATTTTACTACGTAACTCTTTGTGTGATTTTACGTTTTATTTATAATCGGTTGTTTGATGGCGATTGGCGTTGGGATTGTAATCTGCCCTGAGTCCCCTTGGGGAGATAGGGCGGAATATAAAGTATTTTAAACTGTTTTTTATACTGTGTTATGGTAGCATGGAATTTCTGCTGTTCTTGTTGTGAACCGCTGTGAGTCGCCTAAGGGCTGAGAACAGCGGTATACAAATAAAGTAAGTAAATAAATAAATAAATAAAGAATAATAATAATGTATTGTCAAAGGCTTTCATGGCTGGAATCACTAGGTTCTTGTGGGTTTTTTCGGGCTATAGAGCCATGTTCTAGAGGCATTTCTCCTGACGTTTCGCCTGCATCTATGGCAAGCATCCTCAGAGGTAGTGAGGTCTGTTGGAATTAGGACAATGGGTTTATATATCTGTGGAATGGCTGAGGTGGGGCAAGGAGCTCTTCCCTGCTGCAGTTAGGTGTGAATGTTTCAGCTGATCACCTTCATTAGCATTTGAAGGCCTGCCTGAGCCTGGGAAAATCTCTTGCTGGGAGGTGTTAATCTGTGCCTGGTTGTTTCCTCTCTGTGGTTTTGCTGTTATAATTTTAGAGTTTTTAATAGAGGTAGCCAGATTTTGTTCATTTTCATGGTCTCCTCCTTTCTGTTGAAATTGTCCACATGCTTGTGGATTTCAATGGCTTCTCTGTGTAGCCTGACATGGTGGTTGTGAGAGTGGTCCAGCATTTCTGTGTTCTCAAATAATATGCTGTGTCCAGGTTGGTTCATCAGGTGCTCTGCTATGGCTGACTTCTCTGGTTGAAGTAGTCTGCAGTGCCTTTCATGTTCCTAAACAACCAGGCACATCTTAACACCTCTCAACAGAACATTTTCCCAGGCTCAGCCAGGCCTTCAAATGCTAATGAAGGTGGTCAGCTGAAACATTCACACCTAGCTTCAGCAGAGAGCTCTTTGTCCCACCCCAGCCATTCCACAGATATATAAACCCATTTTCCTACTTCCAACAGACCTCACACCTCTGAGGATGCTTGCTATAGATGCAGGCGAAACGTCAGGAGAAATGCCTCTAGAACATGGCTCTATAGCCCGAAAAAACCCACAAGAACCTAATTAATTGTTATTATTATTATTATTATTATTATTATTATTTACTCTCATGGCAGCCCTAACTCCAATGAATGTGGGGGACTGAATCATATGAGCAATGTTGCCAGAAGGCTTTAGTTGTTTCCTTTGCCTTCCTGATAATATAGACTGTGCTTGTTATCTATTTAAAAGCTGTGCTTTAAATTTTCATCATGCAGAGAGGGTTTTTTATTTGTTTTTTATTTATTTATTTCTGTTGCTTCTACCCCGCCCTTCTCACCCCGGGGGGGGGACTCAGGGCGGCTTACACAAGCAAGGCACAATTCGATGCCCGCATTACATACAACAAGGAACAACAACATCAGTTAATGACAGCAATTTTAGCAATAAACAACAATTAACAATTACCTGTTGGTGATAAAGTTAGTGCTTTTTAGTAGGTGTGTTTTGGGGTGGAAGTTATGCCAAAGAATCTCATGAAGAGACCCCAAGAGTCATCAATTCCAATCTGGTTCTTTCAGATAGGAATCTACCATGCCTCTAGCACAGGCATGGGCCAACTTTGGCCCTCATCCAGGTGTTTTGGACTTCAACTCCCACAATTCCAAACAGCCTACCATGCTAAAGCAGGCATAGGCCAACAGCTGCTAGGAATTGTGGGAGTTGAAATCCAAAATACTTGGAGGAGGGCCAAAATTGGTCCATGTCGTCTCTAGCATGGTAGTTCAGGGCTTCCAAGTGTTGTATAGTGTTTGAGAGAATTGAACCATGCATTCACTCGCATCCTTGGTTCTTTTGCAGGATCCCCTACGGCCCTCACCTCCTTCCCTCCCACCTCTGCGTTGACCTGGACCTGGCCAAGACCTGTCCCTGTGGGCGCTCCTGTTTGAACTGCTTCATCCAGACCACACTAACCATGAACCTGCACAGTGTGGCCCACACTGTGGTCCTAGTGGACAACATGGGCGGCACCGAGGCCCCCCTCCTCTGCTTCTTCTGCTCCCTGACCTGCTACTCCTGCTTCCTGGACAGACACCTGCGAAGCAACAGCAACGGCCGAGGGCCCTGAGCACAGCCCTCCCTCCTCTCTCCCCTTCACCAGATGCCTGGCCTTCTGAACATGCTCCAGTGCCTCTCTGCTGACCCTGAGGGATTCCCTACCTGGTTTCCCACAGATTGTTAGCAGGATATAGGAAACATTTTATGTTTGGGTTCGATTGGGGTCTGATGAGTGTATTTGCAGCCCAAAGGACAACATCGCCTGGGGACCCCAAGGTTATCCATCACCCTATGCTACATGGGACTCTGTTGAGTAAGGAACGCTGAGTCAGGTCCAGGTATCGAAGCACAGTGAGTCAGAACTAGACAGAGAGCAAGCTAATCTCCTTTTACATCATCTTAAAAGAGGAAGGAAAGGGAGCTTGAACTCAGATGAAGAAACTGTAAGTTTGTTGAAGAGAGGACAAGGCGATTTAGGGCTCTCTAGATATTGCTCGATCTTCATCTCCCACCATTAAATTGGTTTGAGGTCCAATCAAACCACTTCCCCCCTGGCTTGTTTCTCTTCCCTGAAACTGCCGTTTGCCTACTGGGATTCCTTGCTCTTGGTGGCAAGTGCGTGTGTCCCTTCATCCACACCACTGGGTCCTTTGGCCCTCTGAAAACTACGCCCCAACCAAGAATAGAATGACTTGTCCTTGTTAGAAGTGGGAATACTCAGTAGCATTTCTCAAAGGCTTCTTCTACACTGCCATATAAAATCCAGATTATCTGATTTAAACTGGATTATTTGGCAGTGTAGACTCATAATCAAGTTCCAAACAGATGTGTCTTATCTGATTTGATAATCTGGATTATATGGCAGTGTAGAAGGGGCCTAGGGGCCCTTCCACACAGCCCTATATCCCAGAATATCAAGGCATAAAATCCCACATTATCAGAGTGTGGGCTCAGATAAATCAGTTCAAAGCAGATATTGTGGGATTTTCTGCCTTGATATTCTGGGATATAGGGCTGTGTGGAAGGGCCCTAAAATAGATTAAACAGGACCCATAATGTTTAGAAGTCCGGCTGGCTTGGAATGAAAGGTGTTCTGTTTGCATAGCAACAGAACTCAAGGCTTCAAAACATTGGAGTTCTATTTATATCACAGTTGAAGATCTAGGGCCCTTCTGCACAGCCCTATATCCCAGAATATCAAGGCAGAAAATCACACAATATCTGCTTTGAACTGGGTTATTTGAGCCCACACTCAGCTATTCTGGGATATAGGGCTGTGTGGAAGGGCCCTAAGATCGATCAAACAGGGCCCACAATGTTTAGAAGCCTGGCTGGCTTGGAATGAAAGGTGTTCTGTTTGCATAGCAACAGAACTCAAGCCTTCAAAACATTTGAGTTCTATTTACATCACAGTTGAAGACCTAGAGCCCTTCCGCTCAGCCCTATATCCCAGAACATCAAGGCAGAAAATCCCACAATATCTGCTTTGAACGGGGTTTTTGAGCCCACGCTCAGCTATTCTGGGATATAGGGCTGTGTGGAAGGGCTCCTAATCCTTGAACATGGTGCTCTTGCTGAACATGTACCAGTTTTATGTTATATGTTTCTGCAATGTTTATTTTATAATCCATGCCTTAAAACACATTCCATCAATGTTTACTGACAGACTGATGCAAAACTGTTACATGCAGAGGTATTTGGGAATGGCTTCCTGACTAATCCTCCAGGCAGCTCTGCAAATATTATATTATTTGATTACAAAATAAAATATGCAAAAATTCAGGGGTTGTGTGCTGCCCTTTGTGTGCTTTCTGATTGTCTGTTGCCTTCCTGAAGACTTATTTGGTCAAGGAGTGGGTCTCTTGGTGGCCAGGGACAGGAGATGTGGAAAAAGTTGAGTGGGGGGAGGGGGGGCAAATGGGAGGAGGAGGAGGAGGGAAGAGGAAAGGATGGAAGGACAGGAGGAAGGAGCTAGACCAGGTATGGGCAAACTTTGGCCCACAAGGTGTTTTGGACTTCAACTCCCACAATTCCTTACAGCCTTGGGCCCCTTCTTTTTCTCTCTCAGCCACTTAAACTGTAGATCAGGCATGGGCAAACTTGCTTAAGCAGCTGAGGGGGGAAAGAAAAGGGCCTGAGGCTGTAAGGAATTGTGAGAGTTGAAGTCCAAAATACCTGAAGAGCCCAGGTTTGCCCATTCCTGATCCAGATTGCAAGATTGGTAGTTGATTAAATGTCCTTTGACCAGTATCTGGCCACTTGGAGTGCCTCTGGTGTTGCCGCAAGAAGGTCCTCCATGTGCATGTGGCAGGGCTCAGGGTGCATTGCAGCAGGGGGTCAGTGGTTTGCTCTTCTCCACACTCGCATGTCGTGGATTCCACTTTGTGGCCCCATTTCTTAAGGTTGGCTCTGCATCTCGTGGTGCCAGAGCGCAGTCTGTTCAGCGCCTTCCAAGTCGCCCAGTTTTCTGTGTGCCCGGGGGGGAGTCTCTCATTTGGTATTAGCCATTGATTGAGGTTCTGGGTTTGAGCCTGCCACTTTTGGACTCTCGCTTGCTGAGGTGTTCCAGCAAGTGTCTCTATATCTTAGAAAACTATTTCTTGATTTAAGTCGTTGACGTGCTGGCTGATACCCAAACAGGGGATGAGCTGGAGATGTCACTGCCTTGGTCCTTTCACTATTGGCTGCTACTTTCCGGCGGATGTCAGGTGGTGCAATACCAGCTAGACAGTGTAATTTCTCCAGTGGTGTAGGGCGCAGGCACCCCGTGACAATGCGGCATGTCTCATTAGTATGGTTGAAATGGCAGCAAACCACTGGCCTTCTGTGTGGTTCAAAACTGCCTGAACTCAAGGCTAAGATCTACACTTTGGTTGTCTGCCTAGTAGCCCTTCCTCTGGCCAGCAACAAAGGAACATGAACAAGCCCTGCACACAATGGAAATGCGGAGATGGTCACTTGGTTTGACACTTCTCAACCATTTGGCAAATGAAAATGCAGCAAGAAAATGCAAGAAGCAAGATCCGCAGTGGTGCATCCACATTGTAAGAAGAGAACCAACATCAGGAGCACAAACAGCACTATATTTGGAAATTGCAGGACATAGAATCATAGAATCAAAGAGTTGGAAGAGACCTCATGGGACATCCAGTCCAACCCCCTGCCAAGAAGCAGGAATATTGCATTCAAATCACCCCTGACAGATGGCCATCCAGCCTCTGTTTAAAAGCTTCCAAAGAAGGAGCCTCCACCACATTCCGGGGCGGAGAGTTCCACTGCTGAACGGCTCTCACAGTCACGAAGTTCTTCCTCATGTTCAGGTGGAATCTCCTCTCTTGTAGTTTGAAGCCATTGCTCCATTGCGTCCTAGTCTCCAGGGAAGCAGAAAACAAGCTTGCTCCCTCCTCCCTGTGGCTTCCTCTCACATATTTATACATGGCTATCATATCTCCTCTCAGCCTTCTCTTCTTCAGGCTAAACATGCCCAAATCCTTAAGCCGCTCCTCATAGGGCTTGTTCTCAAGACCTTTATCATTTTAGTCGCCCTCCTCTGGACACATTCCAGCTTGTCAATATCTCTCTTGAATTGTGGTGCCCAGAATTGGACACAATATTCCAGATGTGGTCTAACCAAAGCAGAATAGAGCATGGGGAGCATTCCTTCCCTGGATCTAGACACTAGGCTCCTCTTGATGCAGGCCAAAATCCCATTAGCTTTTTTTGCCGCCACATCACATTCCTGGCTCATGTTTAACTTGTTGTCCACGAGGACTCCAAGATCTTTTTCACACGTACTGCTCTCGAGCCAGGCCTCATCCCCCATTCTGTATCTTTGCATTTTGTTTTTCCTGCCAAGGACAGGGAGCATGTGGGTAAAGGCCAAAGAACGGATGGATGGCCACCATCAATTAAGACGTGCCAACTTGGGCCCTCTGGGTATTTTGTACTCCAACTCCCATAATTCCTGTTAGGAGGGCCCAACACCCAGAGGGCCCGAGTTGGACCAGGCCTGATATTGTCTAATAACTTTTATCTCCAGTCCTGCCTGCGTGTCTGTATTCCTCGGGAGGAGGAAAGGAAGAATAGAGGGATCCTCCTCCCCCTCTCTTCTGCCTTGGTGAGACCACTTTACCTGGAATCACACTGTGTCCCATTCTGGGAACTACAATTGAAAGGAGATGTTGACAAGCTGAAATGTGTCCAAAGAAAAGATGACTAAAGCCCTATGAGGAGCGGCTTAAAGAGCTGGACATGTTTAGCCTGCAGAAGAAAAGGAGGAGAGGAGACATGGTGAGGGTCATGGATAAAAATGTGAGGGGAAGACATAGGGAGGAGGGAGCAGGCTTGTTTTCCACTGCCCTGGAGAATAGGAAACGGAACAATGGCTTCAATCTACAAGAAAGGAGATTCCACCTGAAAATTAGGAAGAACTTCCTAACTGAGAGCTGTTTAGCAGTGGAACTCTCTGCCCCGGAGTTTGGTGGAGGCTCCTTCTTTGGAGGCTTTGAAACAGAGGCTGGATGGCCATCTGTCAGGGGTGATTTGAATGCAACATTCCTGCTTCTTGGCAGAATGGGGTTGGACTGGATGGCCCACGAGGTCTCTTCCCACTCTAGGATTCTAGGATTCTATAACTTCTTGACTGTGAGAGCCGTTCAGCAGTGGAACTCTCTGCCCCGGAGTGTGGTGGAGGCTCCTTCTTTGGAAGCTTTGAAACAGAGGCTGGATGGCCATCTGTCAGGGGTGATTTGAATGCAATATTCCTGCTTCTTGGCAGAATGGGGTTGGACGGGATGGCCCAGGAGGTCTCTTCCAACTCTTTGATTCTATGATTATTAGAGTCCATAGTGCTCTCTGGCTTTAGGCGAACTACAATTCCCAAACTCAAGGTTGATGCCCACCAAATCCTTGCAGTATTATCAGTTGGTCGTGGGAGTTGTGTGTGCCAAGTTTGGTTCAATTCCATTGTTGTTGGGATTCGGAAGGCTCTTTGATGGTAGGTGAACAATAAATCCCAGCAACTACAACTCCCAAATGATAAAATCAACACACTCGCACACACACACCCCAACCTTAAGCGGGTGAGGTGGGTAAAGGAAAGGGCCTGAGGCTGTTAGGAATGGTGGGAGTTGGAGTCCAAAACACTTGGAGGTCCAAAGTTTGGCCATGCCTGCTCTGGCTTTATGATTCCTCATGAAAGTGAGAAAACCCAAATATATATCTTCCTCCACTTTGGACTCCAACTCCCACCATTCCTAACAGCCTTGGGCCCCTTCCTTTTCCTCTTAAGCAGCTGACGGGGAAAAGGAAGGTGCCTGAGGCTGTCAGGAATGGTGGGAGTTGGAGTCCAAAGCACCTGAAGGGAGCCTCCGGAGGGCCCAAGAAGGCCCAGGCCTAGTCATAACAACCTTGGGTTGTT